GAGTGCACTAGCGCAGTCATAGGCCACTGTATCCTTGAACTCCAGAGCTCAAGCAATCCTCCTACCCAAGCCACCAAGTAGCTAAGACTACAGGTGCATGCCACCACACTCAGCTAATCTGATTATTTTTTGGAGAGGTGAGCTTGCTATGCTTCCCAGGCTAGTTTCAAACTAATGGTACTATCACCTGGGCCTCCTAATGTGATGGGATTACAGGCATGAGCTTAAAACCTCCTTTTCCTGGCTTAAAATCTTCCTTCCTTCCACAGCCAACCTCAGTTCAGTTATTGTATTTATCAGCTCCAAGACTCTTATTTGGTTTTTAAACTTTTTGTTAAAATTCTCACTTTGTTCATGCATTGTTCTCCTAAGCTTGTTGAGTATCTTTGTGATGATTTTTTTTTTTTTTTGAGTTGGAGTCTCACTCTGTCGCCCAGACTGGAGTGCAGTCGCCACTCCCAGCCACCGCAGGCTCGACCTGCTGGGCTCCAGTGATCCTTCCGCCTCAGCCTTTCAGTAGCTGGAATTACAGGCGTGCACTACCACATCCGGCTAATTTTTTGATTTATTGTAGAGATGAGGTCTCACCAAGTTGCCCAGGCAGGTCTCGAATCCGCGGGCTCAGGCAATCCACTCCCCTCGACCTTCCAAAGGCACGGGATTACAGGCTGAGCCACTGAGCCTGGCGATGATTATTTTTTAATTAGCTGCCAGATAATTTGTATATCTCCATTCCATTAGGGTCAGTTCTTGGGGTTTATCTTGTTCCTTGTTTAGACCATGTTTCTCTGTTTCTTCATTTTCATTGACGTCTGTTGTTGGTATCAGAGGAGGAGGAAGAGGAGGAGGAGGAGAAGGAGGAAGGAGGAAGAAAGGAGGAGGAGGAAGAAGGAAGAAGAACAGCCACACCTCCCAGTCTCATGGAATGTCACTGTACAAGAGAAGACCCTTACCAATCAGCCTAGCTAGAGATTCTGTGGGCCTCTCAATCTGTGCCTGTCCAAACTACTGTCTTTGATCTTAGCAGCCCCCAGGCATCTAGAGTATTTAGGATCCTGTCAGTATTCCAAGACAGGTGAGACAGAAACAAGTTCCATAGGCAGCCCCTGAAAAAGTTGGAACACTGGACATACAGTCCAACTCCTTCCCTCTCCAGGGAGAAGCTAGGATCTGGGTTTTTTGCCCACTCACTCTGCACTGAGTGCTATATCAAATTATCTTCTTTGTTCTCAGCAATCATCAGGCACCTGGGGTATGTTGGGGCCTGTCAGCACTTTGAGATAGGCAAGACAGAAGTCAGTTCCCTCAGAATTCAGAACACTGGATGTATGGTCCAGTACTTTCTCTCTCACCTTCTGTCTAGGAGAAGCTGGGAACTGGAGGCTTCCTCCAAACTGTATAGTACTGTTCCAGGGGTAGGTGAGAAGATGTCTTGAATTTTTCTGCTGGCTTCAAAGTGCTTGGCCCCGTGTTTGTCCAGGGTGCAAGAGCTCCTCAACTAATTTATGGATTTCTCACAAAGCATTCAGGTATTGCTGTTGATTGGCAAGTCCATGGGGAGCAGGAAGGCCCAGGGCTACATATATGTGTGTATGTGTGTGTGTGTGTGTGTGTGTGTGTGTGTGTGTGTGTGTGTGTGTGTGTGTGTGTGTGTGTGTGTATGTATATATGTGTGTGTATATATATATATATATATAGTCAGGGTCTCACTCTGTTGCTCAAGTTGGAGTGCAGTGGCACAATCACAGCCTCAAATTTCTGGGGGACAGTGATTTGTGATTTTTCTGCCTCAGTCTCCTGAGTAGCTGGGACTTTTCTTTCTTGGCTTAATCAATCCTTCATCCCTTCCCTTCCTTTCTTCCTTTCTTTTTTGAGACAGGGTTTCACTGACACAATCGTGGCTCACTATGGCCTTGAACTCTTGGGCTCAAGCAATCCTCTTGCCTCAGCCTCCCCAGTAGCTGGGACTACAGGTGTGCACTACTGTGCCTGGCTAATTTTTCTATTTTTTATAGAGACAAGTCTTGCTTTGTTACCCAATTTGGTCTCGAACTCCTGACCTCAAGCAATTCTCTCACCTCAACCTCCCAGAGTTGGGATTATAGCTGTAAGCCACTGCATCCAGCCTGATTTTTTTTTTTTAAGGAGAGACACTTTCCTCAAAAGTCTGGTGATCCTTGGCTCTCTGCTCATATTTAAAAGGGGGCCCTACAAGGCTAAGTAGAATCCCTATGGCTTTGGTGGGGCTTGCCACATAGTTGGCACATTGAGGACTCTTGAGGTCAGCATACTTAGGCACTTTCTTTTAGACTACTCAGATTCCTGAGAAAATAACCTTTCATTCTCTTGCCAGAATGTTCAGGTCTGAGCAGAAAAATGGGCTGCTGGGGTGGAATTAGGCATTCAGTGAGCACATTCTACAATAAACATGAATGTTTTTACTTAAATTCCTTTTCTCAGCACATTATGTGCAGCAGTTAGATTTTGCTATATAGCGAACAATTCCAAATCTCAGTGGCATAAAATGAAGAGCATTTATTTCTTGTTTCCATGTCTAGTGGTTGGCTCAGGCAGCTCTGCTTTAGATTACAAGTCTGCAGATCAGCTGGAGCAGCTCTCTGCAGTCTTCAGGTTGCCTGGACTGCTCTATTCTGTATCTTTCATTCTGAGGTTTCACAAAAGAGGCAGAGCTAATTAGGATATCATCTAATTGATAAGGGCAAAAGTACAAGAGGACAAACCCAATTATTTAAGCACATTTTAAAACCTTTCTTACTTTTCTTCCACCAAAACAAGTGACATGGCCAACCCCGAAGCCAAAGAGTAGAAATGTATACTTTACCCAGTATGAGACTATGAAAAGGGCACAAATATATACTGCTGCTACAAAGAAATGACTAATTGGGACCAACATTTCAACATGCCATAGTATCCCTGCTATTAACAGTACCTACTGTCTTCTAGTCACAGTCTCTCTGTTTCAAAATATCCCAAATAATAAATTTGCAGGCTCCCTTTGAGTAGGAAAGCAGCAGCATATCTTTCATGTTTCTGACATATCTTTTTACAAGTATTTGGTGTAGCCAAATTATGAGCCTTTCTGTGGTAACATTGCAAATTTGGTTGTTTCTGGGTTCCTCATATTGTTGACTGAGGACTCAGCTTTCTTAAGTCTGCTATATCAGACCATCTGCTCTCTAGCTTTCCAAACTTTATGCTTTCTTCTTTCTAATCCCCTCTGCCCAATGGGTTTATGACTTTAAATATAAAAAAAAAAAAGAAAGCCATCTGCTGCCACTGTAAGGCTGTGGAAGAAGGCATATGAAGCATGACAACTAAGTTCATGAACTCATCCTAGAAAAAGTGCTACATACCACACTGCTGAATATCACTACAGTCACCTTTGAAGTACTATCCTTGAGAAGCTATGCACCAACACCAGCGCCTAGTCAAGGAATTCTTTTTCCATCAGAGCTGTTGTCATATAACTCTGGATGTCCTGAAAGTCATCAAAATGCCTTCCTTTCAATATTTCCTTTTTTTGAGTAAAAAAAAAAAAAAAAAAAAAAAAAAAAAGTCACTGGGGCCAGAGCAGGTAAGTAGGAAGGGTATTCCAATAGTTATTTGCTTACAGGCTAAAAACTCCCTCACAGACAGTGCTGTGTGAGCTGGTGCATTATGATGCAAGAGCTCCTTCAGGACCATTTTGGCACACACATTTTTCATGCCAAGATTTTCAGTCAAATTTTTCTGTTTCTCTATCAATGTTTATTTGGTTGGCGATGCTTCTCACAGTTAACTGACGATTTTGATGCACAATTCAACCAATTTTTGCAATGTTTTTGTCAGTTTGGTTCATTACTGGCTGTCCTGACCACTCTTCATCAGTGACGCTTTCTCTCCCCTCAAGAAAACATTTAATCCATTTGCACATTGCCATTTTCTTCAAGACATTATCTCCATAATCTTGGACTAACATGTCCCTGATTTCACTTTCACTCTTGCCAAGTTTAACAAGAAATTTAATGTTTGTTTATTGCTCTAATTCAAATGCTGACATTCTTGTGATGACAGCTCTGATGGCCACTCCTGAAAAAAAGTTCCAAAATTGCTTTGATGGGTGGACTAGGCATCGGTGTACAGCTTCCCAAGGGGAGTATTTCAAAAGTGACTGTAGTGATAATCAGCAATGAGGTATGTTGCACTTTTTCTAGGATAAGTTCATAAATCTGTCAGAACTCATATATTTAATCTGCCATTATTAACCAAAGTATGTATAATAAGTGTGAACAACTATTAATTTATAGAGATAATTCAGGCAGGGACTTGGCCTAGCTAATGATTAAGTTATTTGCTGAAAACTAAGAGAAGAATAGGAAATAAAAGGTAGCCTGTAGTTCAGGAGAACAAGTATACATTCATTATGTGTAAAATTGATTAATAATTGGATGTGTATTATATGTAAACATAAATGACATTTCTTTTTCTTTTTATCTTTTTGAGTTGGAGTCTCACTCTGTTGCCCAGGCTGGAGGGTAGTGGCACACTCACAGTCACTCCAGTGCCAACCTGCTGGGCTCTGGCGATCCTTCCGCCTCAGCCTTCCAAGCAGCTGGAACTGCAGGCACACACTACCACACCCAGCTAATTTTTGGTTTATTGTAGAGATGAAGTCTCACCAAGTTGCCTGGGCTGGTCTCAAACCCACGGACTCAAGACAATCCACTCACCTTGGCTTCCCAAACTGCTGTGATTATAGGCCGAGCCACAGAGCCTGGCCCCTAAATGACATTTCATTATCCTTCTTTCATCTGAGGGTTTTTGCTCTATAATCCTATGTGTCTGAGCATGGAGCACAATGGGTAGTCATCAAGGGAGAGAAGTGCTGATGAGAAAGAGAAGTATGCATTCTCCAAAGGAACATTTATTCATTAGAGGATCTGTGGACAAAGGAACAATTTCTATAGTAGAGCAATTTAAGGTCAAAATTATTTTCTTACCTAAATAATCTGATCCTCTGAATAGTTCAGGTGACGGTAAGCTAGTTGAACTCTCTTCAAGACTGTTATAGTCTGTATAAGAATCTGTGATTGAACAGCTCAGAAGAGAACTGGAATTATGCTGCAAGCTTAATCCTGTAGAATAGAAAAAATGGATAAAACGCTCCAATGGAAAATAGACTTGAAATCCTAAAAACTTAAGTTTATGAAAATATACAAGCTTAATTATAGATTATGAATGCAAAACTTCTTATATACAACTGAAAAGGCATATTTTAAACCATTTTAATTTGAATCTCGGATAATAATTCTATTTCTGATGTTGATAAAAGGCATTATAATCCTCTTCTATTGTTTTTCAAAGTTTTCATTTTATAACTTACTCCTTCTCTACTTTGGTTCAGTTGTGATTCTTGGTTCAAAAACTCAAGTTTTATATAAAAGTAACCCACTAATTGCAAGCTGATTAGCTGAGGATAGAAGAGGGTTATTCTGGTTATTCTACTTATTCTATCTAAAACATGATCAGTCTAAACACAGACAAACAGAGTAAAGAAACTGAACAGAGAGTGGAGAAATAGACTCACACACAAATGAGCAACTGATTTTTTATTGAGATCTAAAGGCAATTCAGTGGATAAAGAATAGTCTTTTAAAAAAATTGTTCTGGAACAACTGGGTATCTACATGCAAAACAAAAAAAAGTGGCACTCATACTTTCCATCCTGTAATTAACTCTAAATGGATCATAGATCTAAACGTAAGTCTTAAAGCTAAAACTTCTAAGAAAAAAAAACAAGAGAAAATCATTATGACACTAAATTAGGCAAAGGTTTAACACTAATGATTTATAAACAATAGCAATGATACATTGGACTTTACCAAAATTTAAAACTTCTCTTCACAAAAGATTGCTAGGATGAAAAGACAAGCTACAGATAGGGAGAAAATATTTGCAAATGGACTGCAATCCAGAAAATAAAGAACTCTGAAAACTCAAAAATAAGAAAACAACCATCATTAATAAGAAAATGGGCAAAATATTTGAACAGCGAATCTTCTCAGGTTCAGACAATTTAAAGTCATCTCTATAAAAGTAAACTAGAATGAAGAACTGTTCAATAAATAATAGGGATAAAACATAGTACTAAAAGTTGGGGAGAGCCAGAAGGTTTTGTAAAAAAATGGAACATACTCTGCTACATTTAGTCAGCATTTATTAAACATTTCTGATATGACAAGGTAGAGGTCAACACTGATAGAAATGGATAAGGGGAAGGGTGAGGGTAAGAGATCAAAGGGAAGCACTGTTCTGAAAATGTTATCCTTTGTCCTAGAACTGACTTACGCCTATCTCTACTCACCTATTACCTACCTGAGACAGCTAACTTTTTGTCCTTTCTTCCTTGGCCTCACTACAAATTTTTCTCCTATTCCAATTGCCTCATTAAAGCTGACAATTGTTTCCTACCTGGCTACCTCCTCCAGCCACCACTACAACACTTAAATTGACTGACCCCAATCTATAATCCTTCTGCTGTCAGAGGTAGGCTGTCCCTCTGAGTCTTCCTAGCTTTCCCCATTCCACTAGAGTGTCCTGTCCCTTTCCTTGCCAACTTTTATCCTCCTGACTCTGACTTCATCCTTCCCATCCACATTGTTATATCTGTCTTGTCACCTCCTTTTCAAAATGTCATGAATATCACTCATAGCAGAGGTATTCCTTCCACTAAGACCCGGAACTCAAGCCAGGGTCAGAAATAAGGAAAGTCCTGTACTCACCAACTGGGTAATTGGGCAGAAAAAATAATAAAGGCTCATGCTGTATCAGTGGGGGATTGCTCCTGATGTCTCAAGTAAGAGAAGTAAATGCATTTAAAAATTACATTTTAATCAAATTATTCTATACATCTTTAAAATGCCAAATAGTTCCACAATACTTACAACAAAAACTGCTATCTTGTCTTATACCTCCCCACCATAATTCCCTAAGCTCTGGAGGCAACTACTTACAACTCTATTAACTGTTTCTCTTGATAGCCAACTCCCTAATATTTCTAAATTAAATGTATTCAATGTCTCTATTATTATTGAAACATACTCATAGCTGAGCCCTGTACCATGAGCTATAACCATCACTTTTTTGCAGTTTTTGTTTTTCCTCTGAGTTACCATCTAATTTTGTAATTATTTTTCTAAGTACTTAATCACTATTTCATCCAAACTTTTTGCAAGAGTATAAATTTCCCCTCAATACTTTCAAAAACACCAGGTTATCCGTTTATTTTTTCTTTTCTTTCCTCCCTCCCTTCTTTTCTTCCTTCCCCTCTGTTTCCTTAGGTCGTTTCTTTCTTTCTTTCTTTCTTTCTTTTTTAAAGAAGTATTGCTATCGGAGATCTCAATCCACTTGCTCAAATTTGGATTGTTTTCCTCTACACATGCTGCACAGATGTCTTCTTAGGTTTCCCTTTACCATTATCCTAAGAAATTCCTTCACACATTTCCTGTATTTTTTGATTCTGGATTCCAAGATTTCTTCTTCGTTGATTTACTCTGATTTTCTTAGAGCATCTGCTTCATTCCTGGGCAAAGGTACATAGAAGATCTGTCCAGGTCAGTCTTCTTTCCTTGTACTCTTAAGTAATTCTCTATCCTGCTCGGAAGATACCTCTCCCCCAAGAAAGCCTGATTACATCAGTAATAAACCTTGCCATGCCCTCTGGGTATATGGAAGGCATTATCAGTCTTGAAATTCAAATTGAATTGTACATTCTGCCTCTGCAAAATCAGTTCAATATTTTAAATGCATTTTCCTCCCACCACGTTCTAGCTTCTGGAAATGCTCTTCAGAAGTCTAATGCCATTCATATTCTTGCTTATTTGCAACTGATTATTTTTTCCTCTAGAAAACTGAAGGATTCCTCTATCCTGGTGATTTTAAAATTATATAATGTTATACCTTAGAGTGAGTCTTTTCTCATTTATTGAGATGGGCACAATTAGTCCGCACCATCCAAACTTGGCTCTCCACATCTGTTTACACTGTTCAGAATCTGAAAGGTTTTTTAAACAGGCATACTCATGATCATTTTTAATTCTAGGAAAATGTCTAGTTTTGAGTATTCAATAATATTATTTTGGTTTACAATGTCTGGAACTTCTCCTTTTTAGATGTTAGAATTCTTAGACTTGCCTTCAAGTATTTTTCTTTTTTAAAATAACAGTTTTGTTGAAATATAATTCACGTGCCATTAAATTCATCCTTTTCAAGTGTACAATTCAGGGTTTTTTTTTCCATATTACAGAACTGTGCCACCATTGCTGCTATTTCTATCATAGGTCTTCGATTTGATGTCTGTTCAACTTTCTGGACTATTTCCTTAAATTTATCAACCAAGTCTATAGAATGTTCATATTTTCATGTTTTTATTTTTTAAGAACTCTTTCCATTCTCTGAATGCTCATTTTACAGTAGCCTGTACTTGTTTCATAGACACATTTTTTGTGACCCTGAAGATATTAATGAAACTATGGTTTTTAAAAAGACTTATTTTTCTTGCATTGTTTGTGTCCTTCAAGTTTATTTTTATTAGTATCTTCATTTTAAATTTTTATTAGTATCTTTATTTTAAATTTTTCTTTCTTTTTTTTTTGAGTTGGAGTCTCACACAGTCGCCCAGACTGGAGTGCAGTGGCCACTCCCGGCCACCACAGCCTCAACCTTCTGGGCTCCGGTGATCCTTCCACCTCAGCCTTCCAAGTAGCTGGAACTACAGGCGTGCGCTACCATGTCCAGCTAATTTTTTGAATTTTTGTAGAGATGAGGTCTCGCCAAGTTGCCCAAGCGGGTCTCGAACCCATGGGCTCAGGCAATTCACTCACCTAGGCCTCCCAAAGCACAGGATTACAGGCTGAGCCACCGAGCCCAGCTAAATTTTTATTTCAAATGTCTAGTAATTCTTAAATGTTCAAGAATGAGGCGGTGGCTCACACCTGTAATTCCAGCACTTTAGGAGGCCAAGGTGGGATAATTGCTTGAGGCCAGGAGTTCAAGACCAGCCTGGGCAACACAATGAGACCTAGTCTCTACTATATATATATATATAAAATTGGCAGTGGGAGGATTGCCTGAGCCCAGAAGGTTGAAGCTGCGATAAGCCGTGATCATGCCACTGCACTCCAGCCTGGGCAACAGAGACCCCGATGGAAGAGAGGGAGGAAGGGTGGGAGGGAGGGGCATTAAGATGGCATCATGAGTGGAACTTAGGAAGAGGTGGGTTTTACTGAAGAGTTTTTAGGCAGGGAGCAGGCCATACTACCAGAATACAGTCTACTCTTCTCCTGGTAAGAGAAGTTTCCAGAAGAGGAATCATCTGATCTCCTAGTTGAGGTATATTTGCCTGAGTGGGTGAGGGGTCCAGGGATTTTGTAACTAAGTATATAGACTTTCATTTATTTTCTTACCTCCCACCACTGCACAATTTTAGCATCCCTGTGTCCTCCCTCTGCTTCAGTGTTTCAGACTGCCAGGGTGGGAAGAAGTGTAGCTGCCTGTCATAGTAGGGAAGGGATCAAAGCATTTAACTGCTACTTTTAACATTTCTAAAAAATCCTATTGTAAAGATTTCCTTCAGAAATATGTGATTCTTCTAATTCCTAAACCTGAATCAGTTTGCTTCTTGGTTTGTTCCTACTCTAGCCATCTAGCTTTTAGCTTTTTAAAAAGTCTGTTAGGTCAATTATAATCCACTTATCTGCCTTCCTAATTCCAAACTTTTACTGATTATCTCTTGCCAGCTGAGGTCTCTTCTCAGTCTTACTGAACCTTATGGTTTTAAAACTTTTTTGGCTTTATTGATATGTTAGAGAGATTTCAGAAAGGAGAAGTAAATGTGTATATTCAATCTTCCACATTAAATAGAAAATCCTTAATTAATTTTTCAACATGTTACAACGTTACTAAATTCCAAGGCAGAATTAAAACAATTAACTGTATACTAAGTAGAATTCTGTGGGCCGCTGCTCAAAACTTAACCAATTACAATATTTTAATATGGAAAAAAGTACTCTAAGTTTCAACAATCAGCAAATGAACTTTTATAATACAGGCAGTTTCTAACAGACTGTTGGAGACAGTCTATTTTTTTATTTCCTTATACCTTTCACTTGTCAACTTAATAAATCTAGTAATCAAGGACATTTCTCACATGTTTAAACCATGATTTTAGAAAATGTTGCTTATTATTGTTAAATGTTTTATTTTTTTCCCAATAGAGAATAAAACCCATTCAACAAGTATTTGAAATTATATTATCTCCCAAGCATGGGATAGAAAGATAAAAGATAGTGCTATTCAATGGCTTTAGAGTCAAAAGGAAAAGACAGACAAAAACAAGTACACTGCTGTTTTGAGTTTTGAGTCTTAAGATAGAAGTATACAGAGTGCCTCAGAACTACTAGGATAGAACAAGTCATTTAGAAAAAAGAGAAGAGAGCTCAGGAGAGGCTTCCCAGTAGAAAAGGCACCTGAATTTATTTTTGAAGTAGATGTTAACAAGGCAACTAAGGGAGAGGAAGAACAAAAGCATTTATTGAGTTCTTCCTATGCTTTTTTTTTAAATTGGAAAATACAGTTTATTTAGAAAGTAAATTAGAAATGAAGAGAGAGAAGGGAGATTCACCTCCCCAAGGTAGGGGAGGAGGGCCAAAGCCAAGAAACATGGCGGCCATAGCTCAAAGAGCCATATAGACACACCAGAGTTTAACTAAGCAATGGCCCCTATGTTCTTTTATACTGTATTCTAAGAAGTATTCCTCTAGCCTATTTTCTAGCTTGCTAGTTTGATTTTCAGTTGAATAAATTCCAATATTAGGCTATTTTATTAAGTTTTTAATTTGATAATGTTTTTGGTTTTCAAGGACTACAATTGTTACAATAGCCTGTTACATTATGAATTCAATGGCCTTCTGTACCTAAAAAGATATTTAAAATCTTCTGCCATTTCTTCAGATATTAGTTCTTCTGTTTGTAGCATCTGTTGCCTCTTTTCCATGGCACTGGTTTTCTTCAAAGGCTTGGCTGTTCCTGGTTGCCTTATTCATATATCTATTTGAGAATCTCTGGTTGTATGGCAGTGAGTACAACTTCTGCAACAGTAGCTTGCTTCTGGAAATTTGGGAAGAAGGAAGAGACATTTTGGAACTTGTGTTCTGAGTGGCAACATCCTCTTGCATTTTCTAAGTATTGTAAGTTATACGGGAATACTGCCCTAATTGTATGGCCAATGTCCACACCAGAAATCTCCTGTATCTGAATTCCCACTTCATCAGCCTAGGCAACACAGCAAGACCTCATCTCTACAAAAAAAGAAAAAAAATCAAAATATCAGCCAGGTGTGGTGGTACACACTTGTAGTCCCAGCTAGTGCACACTTGTAGTCTTGAGAGGCTAAAGCAGGAGAATCACTTGAACCCAGAAGGTCGAGGTTGCCATGATCAAGCCACTGTACTACAACCTTGGCAACAGAGTAAAGTCCCGACTCAAAAAAAACACAAAAAACATTTCTCATTTCAGAAAGCCATATTATATCTTTACTCTGGAGTTAACAAACCTAAGAAATGCCTACCTTTTTTAAATGGTTTTCTTCCTCTACTGTCCTTATGGCAATCTGAAGTTACTTCAGACTCTCCCCTGTTTCCCAGTACAGCCCCAACACTGACCCTTAGAAGTCAATCCCTGATGGTTCACTGCTTAGACATAATTCTCAGGATTTTATCCTGGCAGCAGGCACTGGTAGTTGCCAGTGTTTCCATATAAAAAGGGGATGATGAGAAAGGGACTAAGTAATTCAAATGGAGTTATTAATTATCACCTTGACAATTCCTTCAGGGCCTCTTCTATCAGTCTTTTGCATTTGTTGACCAAGAATTTTGAGTATCTCTACAGCTACTCTTACCTTTGCAGTGGTTTTTCTCTGCTCTTGATATATCATCAATATGATCTCATCTGCTTCTAAGAATTCCTCTGTAGTTCTGTGTTGATGGCATCCTTTGTTTTCAAAATAAGTACAATTAAACCAATATGCAGATGGGTCACAAATTTCTATCTCCAGATCTCCATATTCAACTGCCAATTTGATATTATTACTTAGTCAATCTTAAAGACACTCATAACTTAAAATATTAAAAACTGAATTCATGGTCGTTTTCTCAAATATGATTTTTTTCAGTGAATAACACCACCTTGTATCCAGTTCTACAAGCCAGAAACAAGAACCATCTTTGTCATCTTTACTCTTCATCTGTCAAATCCTGTTAATTTAATTACCTAAAATAGCCATCAGATCAGCCAACTTCTTCTCATTTCCAATATCAGCATCCTAGTAAAAGGTCCCATTATCTCTCCCCTAAACTACTGCAACAACCTCCTCACAGTACTTCTGCCTCTTTCCACACTGCAGCTAAAATAATCATATCATTCTCTATCAAATGACTGCAATGGCTTCCTACTGTTCCAAACATAAACAATGATGTATTTGACATGAACTTTAAGGCTATGCAAGACCTCTAGCTGCTTATTCAATCTTCACATTTTTCCTATTCTCTGTATGCCTGTTACACTGACTTTCTTTCAGTACACAGAACACACAATGCTTAGTTTCATGTTAGGGTCTCTGCACATGCTGTTCCCTCTACCTGAATTTCTTTTTACACATCTCTTTGTATAAATCTTACTCTCCTTCAGATCTCAGTTCAACCGCTGTTCCCTCATAGAAGCCTTCCCTGATCTATTTTCAGTCACACAGAAGTCACTTCTCCTTTGTAGTATGTATCACAATTGCAATTTCCACTTATGTGCCTGAAGGCTTTGAGGACGAGATATAGAGCACAATCAGAAGGATTAACCTTAGACTAAGAAAAAGACACTTTTCCACTGAGAGGGGAAGATGGGGAGAGACACAAATGGTTGCTTATGTTTAGAAGAAAGACAGAATGCTGAGGGAGTTCATATATATTAGTCTTACCTGATACTAGTTCACTATTTGATGAAGTACTGTCAACCCGGAGATCATCAGTCACTGACTCCTATGTGAAATAAGAATTAAAGATATAGCACAAATTATGACAATGACCACTTTTATATTATAATATTGTATCACACTGATTTGGTTATTTTGAAAATGAAAAACTAACATCAACTTTGTTTCACAATAAAATATTCTTTCAGTTTATTGATCAGATATAATCTGATAATTAATATTAAATCTAAAAATATTAATATAATACTATGGACATATCTAGGGAATCAATAATATACTCATCAGCTAACTACTATGAGATAAACCAGCAAATAGAAGATAAAGGTGAATATTTTTCTGATCTACCAGGGGAGAAAGGGCTTTTCTTCTCTAAATATAAAGGCAAATATATAAATCAAAAGGAAAGACTGATAGATAAGTTTAATATACTAGAAATAAAATTAAAGGCAAGTAAACAGATATGGAAATATTTGTTGTATGTTAGTGTGTGAAAATATAACTATCTTTACTATATGATGAAAAGACATTTCACAAAAAAGCAATATAAATGGTCAATAACTTGAAAAAAAGGCACCAATTTTCCTAGAACTCAAAAAAAATGGAAAGTAAAACTGCTCCTTTTCATTTATTCATGTATTTTAATTTATATATATATACATATATATGTATATATATATATATATATATATAAATAACTTCAGGTAAGATGGTGCTGATTTGCTAACATGAATCAAAAACTTTAAACATGATCCAACCCATGACCTACTGCAAAGCATTTATCTTAGGGTAAAAATGTGAGGTACACAAATAAAAACTTCTGTAATGGGATGCCTACTGATATGTATAACAGCAAAACCTTGGAAACAATCACAATCTCCAAACACAGGAAGATAGTTGTACAAATTACAGTATATCTAGCTACAAGACAAAACACCACGAAAACACTAAAGATCATGTTTTTGAAGACAAATGTATGTGGAATATACAAGAAAACAATTTGCAAAATGTTTTAACACAGAAAAAAGGAACAAAAAGAAATATACAAACATTGGAAGAAACTTTTAAAATACTTTTTTTGTATAGTATAAGTCATCTACAAGGAACACTTTACACTGTTAAAATATGGAGTAAAAGCCTTTTAAAAAAATGTCTTGTGTTGAAACTCTTCACTCCCAAAAACATGTTATAGAGGAATATATAAGTTAAAAATATGGAACTTTGACTATCAAGTTGAATGGCAATGTCAGATGAGTCACAAGCGATTGTTTAAATCTGAGTTTCCCCAAATTAGTGCTGTATAACTTTAAAATAGAGTGCGAAATCCATACTAAATACAGTACATCGAAAAGTTATATAATATTCCAGTGAATAAATATTAGAATGCTCTATAATATACTGAACCCTTAGTAATGAATCATGCTTTTAGTTATTAATGGAAAGTTAAATGGAAAACATGAACATGGCTTTAAAATGTCACCAAACACAAGGGAATTATTAAATAATGCTTTGTATTTGTCATACACAAAATTAGCTAGTAACTTGCATTTCTCCAAAATTTCTTTGTCGAGGGAAAGAAAAAAACAAAAATGTATTCCTATGAATGTGTCTAAAGACACACCAATGTTTATAAAAAAGATACTGAGTAAGTTACGTGATTTCTACTGAGCAAAGAGCATTTTATTCTTTCATGCTGCTGGTCTCTACACTAAATGCATCAAAGGACTAGAGGAGAAACATACATACACTCAATGGAGTAATCTTCACATCCTGGTTCTCTTCACTAGTGCTATTTCCTTGCAGGCTTTTCTCTCCTGTAACTCCTAAGTGAGTGCTAACAAACAAACAACACAATTAGTTTCCACCATTTGGACTTAACTCTCCCTATCTCTGTTTATACTGTTCAGAATCTGAAAGGCTCCTTAGGAAGAAGGAACAGAGTGGATGAACAGCACCAATACCCAAATGCAGATTTTTATCTCACTTGCTTTTAGGAAATTTGGCAAACCTTTCCATTATTATTATTATTAAGTCAAGTCAGAGTCTCACTCTGTTGGCCATGCTGGAGTGCAGTGGCACGCTCATGGCCCCCGCAGCCTCGACCTGCCGGGCTCAGACGATCTTTCTGCCTCAGCCTTCCAAGCAGCTGGAACTACATGCGTACGCTATCATGCCCGGCTTATTTTTATTTTTTATTTATTGTAGAGACGAGGTCTCACCAAGTTGCCCAGGTTGGTCTTGAACCCCTGAGCTCAGGCAATCCTCTTGCCTCAGCCTCCCAAAGTGCTGGGACTACAGGCTTGAGCCACCGCGCCCGGCTAAAGCTTCCATTTTTTCAAAAAACAAATCTTTCTGAAGTCCAATTTCTGGGTCTTTGTTCTGAGACGAGAAAAACCGGAATTTCTCTTTATATTCCTCGTGGACTCTTAGAATGAGAGGCTGGCTACTAGAAGAAAATTAGGATTGAAGTTTTCTGCGGAAGCCAGCCGGCCCGCGACTACTCACCTGCGCTGCCCAGAGCCGCTACCTCCCCGTCTGCTCCCCTCGGCGATCTTCGGCAACCCGTGCGCTCTCCCTTTTACCGTCAAGCCTGAGAGAGCGGCACGTATCAGAGCAACAGCCCCGGAAGCCCGCTCACCTGCCCCGGGGATCCCCAGGTCCGAGGCCTACCGCCCCACCTGCCCGCCCGCCCACCCCGCAGGGCTGCTCGGTGGGGCTTACGGTGAAAACGCCGTGAGCCTGGGCCAGTCGGGGCCTCCGCCTTCGCGGGGGAACCTAGGTCTGGCGTCGGGGTTAGGTTGTGTCTCTGACTGGCCTGCCGCTTCTTGCGGGTGTAGACCCGTAGCGGCCACATAGCTACTGCACCCACAGGCCACAAGAGTCCGTGGACCCTCGATGGCCTGCCTCGTCGCCTTCCTGAGGACTAGACCAACTGCCGGAGGGAGACAGCGTCCAGCTGAGGATTAGCCACAACACTAGGAAAAGCCAAAGTCTTGCCCCTCTACAGAGCGGCCGGGCCTCGCTCCCGCCTTTTTATCTCGACGAGGCCGCGCAGCGGCTTCTGGGAAGACGGAGGAATACGGCAGAGACCCCGCCCTCCTCGGGGCAGAGCGGGAGCCACGTGGTTCCTGGGCCACAAGCCCAGCTCAGTTACCTCTAGCGGAACATATGCTTATGGTAAAAAAGCCTCTTCCTCGTTCTTTGAGTTCTAAAGTTCACTCCTTTACTTCTCTTCAGTTGTCGGATAGGCCCAACACCGGACTCCCAATGCCTCGGTGCACTCTTTATCAGCACTGCATAAGACCTTAGTAAAGGAGTTGTCTTAGGTCACTGAGCGCTGGCAGTCTAGCCAAGGGTCAGCCTCACTGGGTGCAGGAAGATCAAAAAGCAATAAACGTACGTTAAGACAGCAAGAACTCAACCTGAGGAATCAACTTCAGCCCCTGGGGCCGCCAATATTTTGGGAGGCTATGGTAACTTGAGAGTTTAATCAAGCCTCCATAAATCCCTGGGCTCCAGGAGGCTGCTTCTCAGGGACAAGCATAGTCCTTAGCCTGTGCCCAGGAGCCATTGCACTTAATAATAACCATCTTCTTATTCTGCATAGTGGCAACATCTCATAACATTTAAAATGCAGTCAATATTGTGTGTGAATATAAGCAACATCCACAATATTTTAGTAATAAAATCACTGAACTTTTTATTTAAAATCTGCTCATAGAAACATTTATGTTAATAGATTTAATATGTAATTAATCATAGATAGCTTTGTAAAGAACAGTGGGTAGACATTCTTACCTGGTTAGAGATAGTGCTTTGAGTCACTGAATCAATATTTACTGAGCACCTTAATCTGTGTTAGGCACTGTGGTAGGTCCTGGGGATACAGAAGTGAATCAGAAATGGTTCTTCAGTTAAGGATCTCTCAGTTTTGCTGCAATATAAAGCAATTATCATCTTCCAACATCCTTATTTTAGTTGCAGCCATGGAAAAACAAATATGCTGAAAAGTAGTCTCTTAGTTTATAAGCCAGGTCTCCAGGCTACCCTGTCTCCATCTGAGGGCTGTTGTGAAAAAACTTGGAGTTCTTAAGTGACCTTTGGGAGAGATCTAGACCCTGGGATGTCCTAGGCCCAGAAATGGAAAAAAAACATTGAAAAATGAAAATAGGTTAAACAAAAAGCTAGTCTACCCTTTAGTGGTCCTGTTCCTCAGAAATCTATCTCACTGTACTGAATTACATTCACTGAAATGTCATCAAGTAAAGATTTATGCAAATTAAGGCATAGGGTCACAAAACTGGAAATAAACTTTAGGGTCTGATTTATTTAGCCAAAAGGCAAAATGCCCCCTCATTTTGCCACTGAGGAAACTACAGTGTAGGGAAGCTTGTTAAAATATATGATTGACACAGGGGACATGGCTTTCCTGGCATTTGACTCATGTTCTTGTCATTCTCCTATTCCTTCTAACAACACATGGCTGGATAAGGGATATGGGGGAACAAAGAGAAGAGCTTGAAGTCCTTAGTAGCAAGGGAAGGGGAAGAGACTAGAGACAGACTGTATCTAATTGAAACTTCACCCAGAGCCAACCTATAAAAGGGGAAGGAAACATGTCGCCTACAAAAGGGTGAGGTAGGGCAGAGACTTCTCAAAATCAGTCATTGCTCAATCTCCCCAAACTCCATTCCCAAATGCACAAACACCAGTGCAAGTATTCAGTGATAAGTGTTAAACTTCTTCCATTTACCCATCCTACTACTTCCACAGCTAGAACTCTGCTACCAGTGTTTCAGTTCAACACATATGGGTTTGACTAGGTTTGGAACAGTCTTGGAGATACTAACTTCTATGAGAAAGTGAGTTTCAAAGAGATTTCTGAAGAAAGCTTTTTGTAAAACAGCCAGTTTGTGGGTTTGGGATTCCCTGGAGCCCAAAGTAAATCTTTCTGAATAATGTTTTCTTATGGAGTAAACCACTGAGCAACTTTCTTTGTGGTGCTGTCCATGGCTTATAGGAATACACTGAAAATCTGTTTCCTTTTGTTTAGATGACAAGAATGTAATAACCCACAGTGATAAAGGAAATACACCTTCAGGTATTGCAGTCTTAATACTATGCAACATACAGAAAAGAGCCAAGAGTATTTTCTTTCAATAGACATTTATTTAGCATCCACTACAGCCCAGACCTGCATGGTGACTAAAATCTCAAACAACTCAGTCTAAGTGGGATAGGTTAAAGGGACCATCAACCAATCAGCCATGTGGGAAGCTTCTCAGAGAAAAGGATGCTGGAAGCTGAGTTTTATGAGCTAGATGGTAGGAGTTAGACAGGAAGATTAAAAGGTGAATTCTAGGAGATAGAGCCTGTATGTGCAAAGTCATGGAGGCATAGGAAATAGTGATACTTTTAAGGCACTACAAAAAGTAATTGGTGAGATTGGAGCCAAGGTTCCATGGGGGAGGGACTAGAAGAGATGCTAGCCCTTGTATACTAAACCAGGGAGTCTGAACTTTATCCTGGAAACTATGGGAAGTCACTGAAGGAATATTAAGTAGTAAAGTAGTATGACCAGATTTTCAATTTGGGAAGATTGACCTGACTGAGATGTAAATGGTGAAATTTGAGGAAACTGGGATAGAAACATGAAGACTAGCTGAGAAAGCACTGTAATATTCTAGACAAGAGATAAGTGTGGCCCAAATGACACTAATATCTGTGAGAATAGAGGGGAGTAGATGACAGCAAAAGCAAAACCTTCATATCTTAAACATGGCAGATTGCATCTTTTCAAGACATTGTACCCATTTATCTGTATATGAATAAAAGACATTGTGGAAATTCTGTTTTAAGGACCATCATGATGGAATATTTGAATAAAGTTATTTGTTCCTTTAAAAGTATAAAAATGATTTAATTAAATACAGGACACATTTGATAATAGCAGAAGTTCTAAAAGAGGCCAGGACAAAGGAGCACCTCTGGATTCACTGCCAATTCTTGGAGTTTGGGGAAGTTTACAGAGGATGTAGAGGATATAGTGTGCTGATCGGTAATATAGTTTGATACTATGTTTACCATAAGCACTAACTATGATTGATGATTACCAAATATATTAACATGAGGGGATTGTGCTATATAAACGTATATAAAATAGTAATTATAAGCAATTTTGAGAAATGAAAAATCTTTATTTTTTTACAAAAGTTTTCATAAATGCATTTTATATTTGATATGCATGCTATTTTAACAAAGCAACTGAAAATATAATTACAGTGAGGATTCTTTTATGCATATTTAAAAAGTAATATTTAATCTCCTAAATTTTTAAAAATTTAAAGTAGAATAAACAATTCTTCAAAAAATATTCATTTTTTTCCCCATGCAATTGTTGCAATGACTTACCAAGGAAAATTAAAATAATCAGTTAAATAAATGTTTAAAAGCCACTGTCACCTCATGAAACTCTTTCCATTTGGGACCAAGTTTAGAAATGCCTGTATCCAAGTATATATCTATTGCTTCTGTGTTACAACCATTAATGTGCTCTAACTAAAGAGTTTCTCCTTTGGGGTTTTGTCCCCACTTGAAAGCTAGCTCAGTTCTTATTGCAGTTAATTGTAATTTTACAGGAAGGACTATGTAGCATACTTGAGAGAAAATTCAGACTAGTAGGATCCTTTTTTCATGTAAATGCTTCCTTAAAATTAAAGCCAGCAAGAAAATACAGCCAACTTATAGTTTACTAGCTTTATACATGATTATTCATTCTTTTTTCCTGAGATATTAAGCAAGTTTGTAAGCAGTCTGTTTTCATGCAAAAATATATTTTCCCATTCTTTACATTCATTTTATAGTCTTTTGTATTTTAATAATGATATCACATTTGTGCTTTATACATTTGAAAAATAAAGAATAATTCATTGTCTTTACTGTAGAAAAAGGTTATTGGTTCTCTGATGGGTAATAACAATCAAATTAAGTGCTGATTTCAAGTTGCTAAGTCATTACCTGATTATGAAAATTCCAATGAAAAGTTCTATTTTTTCTCATACTTATAGTTTTAACTAAATTTAGAATGAAAGCATGACTTGCTTATATGAGGGAGACAAGGTATGTTTAATCCTTGGATGTCTGAGTTTGTGAGTCTCTAATACATGGAGCTAGGCCAGAGCCTCCTCTCCTATCTAGAGGGAAAGTCTCAAGTATGAAGACATCTTTTTATGGCAAAAGGAAAAAAAAAAGATTTGGTGTATATTCAATTTTATAATATGCACAACAGGATTAGTTAGATAGCATTACCAACACATTTGAATGAGAAACAGGTAAAAAAAAGTCAAACATTTAAGAACATATTTATGCTTAAAGAATTGATTTTCTGTTATGTCTCTAGGCTTAAATAGGATCCAATGCCCAATATGAATGTGACCAAAGTAAGTACATAGCCTTTTTGTATATTTTTTTAATGAGAAACACAAATTTTTTTCTCCCCCACAAAGTTGGGAAATCTGAAGCAAGAAGAATTTTTCCAATAATACATATTGTTTCACTTCTCATTTATTACAAAATTAAGTGGAGTTAAACAGAGAAATAAATAAATGTACATGTGATATATTTAGGGTCCACCATTTACTTCTCTCAGTAGTTCTGCACTAACCCATTTATTGGCCAAACGTGATAATTTCCACACAGATCTGGAAGTTTAGGAGAAACAAGATATTTTAAGGGGTTAAAAAAAAGAAATCTTAAGTTGTCCATAATCAATCATATTTAGCTATTATGAAGTATAAGTAAAATCAAAAGAAATTTTAAATTATTTGCTTATGTTACATTGTTCAAAGTCCTTTTGAGATTAAACCCAACAAGGAAATCTTAGTTGAGTGGAAGGACAATGGGAGAAGTTTCTTTTTTGTTGAAATATAAAACAACTTTCCCTTAAAATAGTATGGATATCCAATTCAGGTAATAATTTTTACTTTTAATTAGCCAAATATATTAAATATTAAAAAGACTAATGCTATACATATGTAGCCTTTGACATTTTAAGTGTTTGCTTCTTCAGAAATGCCTTTAAAAATAAATGTGCACAGAGCTAGCTCATTTACTAAGTGAAACAGTGGGTCTTCAGAGAGAATACACCCAAGGAATATTGAAAAGACTGGATAAATACATCAAATGAATCTGTGGTCCACTTTTGACAAGACTAAAATATAAGTATATAATAGCTGATGCAGATTTATCCAATAAGCATATGTGATTTTGTGCAGTTTTTAACTGACAGCATTTATTTATAAACCGCTTAGGCTTCTTCCAAGGGAAGAGAGCTTCTGGGCTGTGAACACTGAGCATATATTTTTAAATTATATGAGTTGTTCATATGCTTTCAGAATCCTGTCTCTATAAAAGAAAAATACTTCCCTAAGGACCATGCCTTTTTTTTCAGATGCACAGTCTATTGCCTGGAACTTAGTTGCTGCCCGTGATATCTGGGCCTTAATTATATAAAATAGCTGACATCCTAGTACAGGTGTGTTTACATACATAATGCAAGAAAGGAGGTTTTTGTGGTTAAACTTAGATGCATTTAAAGATTTTAGGAATGGAATTATGTCATTAGGAGATATTTCTCTTTGATGGACTTGCAAAGTTTTCTCAATTATGTTGTCGAAAAACTCTTTACTGTGGAAATAACGTCCCCTCCTCCCCACTGTCTTGCCTAGATAGTCTTGCTGAAAGCAAGTGAAATTGTTCAGAATTACAGCTATATTGAGTTTCCCAGGCATGGCATGGACATATTGAGACTGGAAGACCGGAAGACCCCAGCAATGAATTAATTGCTGTCCATCCTGAGAAATAACTCTGGGTTTCTTCTCCCAAGTCTACCCCAAGGATCCATTCATTGTAGAGTCAACAGATGTAGAGTCAACAGACACCTTTTAGAATTCATTATGAAAAGGCGTTCATGAATACATGTGTACTATCTGTGAATGGTTTTACATTACATTTTTTCTAGATAATACCTGAATGTTTTAATGAGCTTAATAAATGAAAAAATGTATTGAAATATGTTTGTAAGTTATTATATAAATATAACATTTGTGTTAAGAATATCTGAATTTGTATTTTTCATGAATAAAAGTAAAAATCAGAGAGACAACTGTTTTACATATGGCAATATGGATCATCATGTTTAAAGAATCTGAAGTTATATAGAATGTGAGTTATTGTGTTTTGTTTTAGCATGATTCTGTATACTTAGCTCTAATTTTTAAAATCTGATTTGTGATTTTGACAGTTATTGAATGAGGGAGTTCACATTGCCTAGATATTTACTGTATCTGATTACTATTCCACAAATAATTAAGTACAATATGTCAGTTATGTTTTTGCTTTATGTTTAATAGGATTTTTGTGAACATTGAGAATATATTACTTTTAGTGGTATACACAGTTCTTGAGAAAACGTCTTGATTTTTACATTGCCATTTGCAATATTTTTAGCAGCCCGCTACAATACCATTTTAATAAAAATAAAGTGTACTCGGTGGTGATAGAGAAAATATTGTTAAAGACCTCTTGGGACAGGAAAGAGCCATAAAATCAGATGCTTATTCATTTTCAGCGTGTCATTTTGAGTCATTACTTTCAAGAATAACTATAATATTGCTACACAGTCCATTATACTGAGAAGAACTTTCCTTGAGCTTCACATGGAGGTTGAGTAAAGCTCTTCTATTTGTTTTTTGAAGTACTCTCTCAGCTCAGGTCTCTTAGCCTTTAGTGTTGGTGTCAGCAAGCCATTTTGAACAGAGAACATGTCAGAATGGATGTGAATGGCTTTAACCTAAAAACCAAATGCAGAATACATCTTTAACAGGAATAGAACACAGCATTTATAGTATACATGGTAAAAGTAAACAGGCATATGGGAATAAATGTTTTGATATACAAACACTATACTAAGTCAAAATTATGTTTTAATAACATTTCAGCCCATTTGACATATCTAAAAGCCACCTTTTTTCCTTCCTGCTCATTCGTGTAGCTGGTCAACAGAAATGGATTAGTTGCTTATTCTATACCAGGCACTGAGGATACCAAGAGGAATCATGAATGCCCCTGCCCTTGGGGAGTGCACATTCACATCCAGTAGATCAGAAAGACAATGAATGCATATGCAAGCGTTAGTACAATACACACAGGATGAAGGGCACTTAGCTCAGTTATAGTAGAGGAGAGGAAGGACCAGTCAGGGAAGACTTCTCAAAGTAGGTGAAAATGAGTTAAAGAATGAATAATAGATAACCAGAGGTAGGTGAGTTATACTGCCTCTGCCAGGCAACCCCAAGAACATATTCATGGAGGTGAGAAATGGCCGTGTGAAAAGGGAAATCCAAGTGATTTCTTGTCGTTGTTACATAAAATAGGGGGAAAGGGGTGTGAGGGATGAAGCTGCCATACTGGTAGATGGGCCAGTTTATGGAGGAGTTCAAACTTTATTCTGAAGACAACAGGAAGGTCCTGAACATTTTTAGATAGGGCAAAGACATGGCAGAGTACACATTTTAGAAAGATCTCTACAAGAGAAAAGGGAAGATGGTTTTTGAGAAAGTTAAGATTGGAAGCAAGGCAACTCGTCTGGCCAATTCATGGGAATGAAGATCAAGGTCTACATTCAGGGCAGCAACAGAGACACAGAGACAAGTAAGCAGTTCTAAGAACAATTCAGATATAAATCTGAAAGATACAGGAAAGAGACAGGTAGCCTTGAGGACTCCCAGGTTTCTGGTTTGGATGGCTGCTAAGAAAGAGTGGTGCCATTTAAAGGAGGAATATAAAGTCCGGGAGGACATGATGAGTCTAAGTTAAAAGAAACGTTCTGCCATAGAATTTTAACCAGATCTATCCAGAAGATGACATGAAAGGATCAGGCTTAGAGTTTATATTGCTTATTTCCATAAGACAGATACCAAGACTCCTCTTACAAAGTCTCTTTGCAAGGCTGAATAGGGACTAGACAGGAGAGAAACTGACCTAGGACTGGGAAGGCTTCCATAGCAGAAAAGGCCACATCAGTTCTCTAAGAATGTTAAAATCTGGGCTTGGGATGAATTCTGGAGTGACACTGTCTCCAATATATTATATCCTGACTAAGTGGGACCAAACTCAATAATTCTGTTGAGATAACATACCCATATCATTAAATAATGAACAGAGTTAGGAATTGCTGTAATATATACTTTTTAAAAATTAATTCAAAATATGTGTTAAATATACATATGCATTCATTTGTTGTTTTGTGTAATTGATATTTATTGAGCAACTATTATTCGTCAAGTTTTGTGTTAGGCTCAGAAATACAAAGAACAACAAGATACAGTTCCTGCCCACATGGATCTTACAGTCTAATGAGAGATGCTGCAGTATGCAAATATTACTGTGGAGATAAGCACAGAGAGGGCCTTCTGTGGCAGGCAGAGTCAGTTGTTTCCCCAGTACCCACTCCCCACTTCTTTCATGCTAATAGAACCTTGACTTGATTTGGGGCCAAAACAGTTCCTGTTCCCTGATTTCCTAGCCTCCCTTGCAGCTAGAGGAGAGCCATGGGATCTATTTGTGACTAGTGAAAAGGGGAAGTTTCTGCTTTCCTAATAAAAGAATCAGGCATGGCTATCTTCACCCATTTTCCCTTCTTTCTTTCTTAAATGTGGACAATGTTCAAAGCTGTAGCAGTCACCTTATGGCCATGAGGTGATAAGCCAACATACTAAGAATGAGAGTGAAAAGACAGGAAGAGTCTAGGTCTTTGAGGACCTGTACCTACCTTGGACCATCTATCTTTTAACTTATGTGCTGGGGAAGGGACCCCAATTTGATGAATTTAAGACACTGTGGGTCAGGTTTTTCTGTTAGAGCTGAAAGCGTTAATGATATACCACCTGACCCACCTTGGATAGGAGTCATTGAAAAGGAATGCCTGAGTTGAATTTTGGAGGATATCTAGGCTTTAGTCAGATAAAGATACCAAGGAAGAGAGAGAGTGGCTGCTGTGTGGCCTGAGGAGAAGACGGTGCTCTAGGTAGAGGCAACATGTGCCAAAGCATACCTGGGACAATGCAGATATAGGTTGAAACATATAGCACAAATGAAGAAGAAGAAAGAGAAGGGGCTGGAAAGAAAGACTGGCCAATTGGTTTGGAAAAGTGGCAAAGAAAGAAAGATAAGAAAGGCTCCAAGTTTCTGTTTGAGTAAATACTAAGATGTCAAAACACTGGAGGAGGCAGGAGGAGTTTTTGGAAGAGCATGCATTCGTGTTAAGTTTAAAATGCTGGAGATACCAGTGGTCTTTAAACATTGTCTATTTTAGTTTGGAGAAAAAGAGCTACAGCCTGGGCTTAAGACAGAGAAGGAGTGTCTTGAGCAACAGAAAGGAACCAGAGTATGGGTTCCAAAAGCCAGGTGAAGAAGAGTGAGAGGTCACTATGTCAGATGCTGCTTTCATATGAGAACTGTTCATAACAGGAAACAGGAAACAATCCAGAAATAACTTATTTAAAAAATCACTGTATATAGGTAGTAGTTGCAAAAATTCAGTATGTTAATGATTATTTTCAAAATCTCTGATGCTAACAGTTGAGTGTCCTGGCAGGTGAGTATTATTTGAAATGACAAATAATTTTTGCTCAGAAAATTCTTAATAACCTTCATTAGATTTGTCAGGCTAAAGATCTCAATAAACAAAGAAGACCCCTAAAATTGCTATACTTTCAACTTTAAAAACGCTTTTAAGAAAATTTCTAACAAATTCTGGCTTTTTTATCCATATTTGTAATTTTTAAATGTAGAAGTTTGCAAGTGAGCACAGCATTAATAAATCAGATTCACTTTTGTCTCTAAGAAATTTGTCCAAATAAAGGATCCACTTTTACCTTAGGGTAGTTTATTTTCATAACAAGAATGACATTTTAAGAGATTTATGTATGTTGGGATTGGGGAGAAACTAAGCTAAAAATATAGTTAGCATCATAAGTAGCTGCTTGAACTTTACTTCACATATTGAAAGGAAGGATTTCTACTTGGATACCCAATTTAAATCACTGGAAATCTTAGGCTCTTGGCTAAGGATGGTTATCATCAAGTATTTCCAAAGTAATTAAGGTTCCTGTAAAAAGTGCTTTGTTTGAAAATTCTCTCAGTATGCTTGACATTCAAAGAAGCAAGGATTTGGTAAGGAATAGAGCTGCTATTCTTTGTACCTTATGGAATATAGTTTTTTTTGACTTGTTGTTATCAAACATAAATCATCCTAGGAGACCCAATATTTGCTGGAAGCAGGTCCCAGGGGAGAAGTTTTCAAACCATAGTGCACTGAGAACTAGGAGGTCTGCAGAAGTCACTACTGGGGGTGATGTGAAGGTGGGGTTTAAATAGGTAAGGGTGGCAAGGAGACAGGGAAGGGTGGTGTGAGGAGGTAGGTGAAGGAGGAAGGAGGTGAGGTGCCTAGGGTAAAGGGGTTATGTGGAGAAACTCTGGTTCAGGCCCCAAGACCATCCAGGGTAGCATTACTCTTGTTTTTGTGCATGCTCAACTTTTTTTTTTTTTTTAATGTCATCTAAGTTCTACTTAAACAAGTTTGGAAATTACCGTTTGATAATAAAAGCAAGTAGGTTGAAGAAAACATTAACACAATCTAAATCAACTTTAATCCTAGATACAGGGATTTGATGTAGTAATAACTCATATTTACTCTCAAAACGAAAAACTCAAAAATTGACTCAAAAATTGCTAATAATATCCTTAACTTTTCCAAAAAAGTTCTCTTCTGATAGAAACAATATTACATAAAGACTTTTGGAAAGTACAAACCATTTACCCACCTCCTTTTGTTAATGAATTTTAAAATCGAATTTTAAGAAGAGATACAAATGCAAGGATATAATTTCTACAGTGTTCTTGAAGCCTGGGTTTCAGCATGTTTGCGTTCCTAACAGCATGTGGAGAACATTGTGTAATTGGAATAAGAATCTATGTTAGCACAAGAACTTAGGTTGAACACCTTTGAAAATCCAGCAGTGATAAGCAGAAGCTACAAAATAATACAGCATAGGGAGGATGAATTTCATAGGGAGAGCAACATAATGCTACTTAGATGGTTAAACAGGAATATAAAAGGAAATGTTATGATTTTAAGAAGAAAAACTGCACCAACAGGTAGATTTTCTTTTTCTTTTTGAGTTGGAGTCTCACTCCCTCCCCCAGGCTGGAGTGCAGTGGCATACTCATGGCCACCCCAGGTTCGACCTGCTGGGCTCTGGTGATCCTTCCGCCTCAGCCTTCCGAGTAGCCGAACTACAGGCATGCCACCACGCCTGGCTAATTTTTTATTTTATTGTAGAGATGAGGTCTCGCCAAGTTGCCTGGGCTGGTCTTGAACCCAGGGGCTCAGGCAATCTACTCGCCTCGGCCTCCCAAAGTGCTGGGATTACAGGCTGAGCCACCAAGCCCAGCCTGTAGACTTTTAATATCTGTCAAACCATCTACTTGCAATAAACCTAAGTGGCTGAATGGGGCACCTGTAGTTCTATGTGGCTATCTACAAAATAGTGGTGCTTGAGAAGAGACTATATTAGTAGATACTGCCTTGCAGAAGGTCAAGCAATATGGCACCTGCATTCAACTCAGCTTTCAGTCCCTTAGTGAGCAGGTCTGAGTGGTACTGTTGCAAGACTGCCAGTCCCTGCTCTAGTCTGACTTATAGCCTTGGGTCTAGTTAAATCCTTCTATAAAAATACCTATATAACCTGCTGGAATGACTTAAAAATCTAGTCAGTAAGTGGAAAAAAAATGAGTGGAACCAGATATGTAACTGACACTGACCTAATTGTGGGTCGCAAACCTACAGTTATTTTCAAAAGTTAATCAATGATAAGACACATTTTCATTTTCTATCATGATTATATATTTTCTTATAAAAACCAAACTGTCCAATTGTGAACTTGTAAAAAAGGTATGAGAATCCCTATTCTCCCTTTATGCTAAACAACCCATGAAACTTTGTTTCCAATTTTTAATTAGTAAAGACTTTACTGGTTAGGTCAGTATTCATTTCAATGACAGGAAATACAGTAAAACATTTTTAGTGATGGCTTAACTAGTCAAGATTTGAAAAATCCATCAAGTGTCAAAATTTACTGTATTGCTTATGCAAATTAACAAGGCATATAAATGTCAAGAAAATGGTTAAATCATGGTTAAGTATACTCAAATACTTCCCAGTCATCCACATATTTTAATTATTGATACAATTATTCTAAATGTTTCTTATTTACTCATTAAAATATATCTTCCAAAGAACTCCATAAATTATTAACAGTTGACCTAGTTCTAGGAATTGCATCTTTTTTAAAAATAATTCGAAATTTAATTCAAATCAACCCGGCCCAGTAAGTCTGAAGTTCTAAAGTTTTTGTTGGATGACTTAAACTTTGGACTTGAATATCTATGTGTCTCTGTGTGTGTGTAATTAGAGTTCAGCCTTAATTGACCGTTCATTTGTCAGCAAGAGGGAAAAGAATAAGCCAAAAATGGATTATGGAATAACTGAAGTAATTTATATTGAGCTTTGAATCACAACTGGGAGCACATCCTACTCAGGTATGAGGCCTAGTTTTTGCTTTCCTGTGGTCAGCTGAGGGCACACACTGGTTGTGGTGGGGAGAATGCTACAAACTAACAAAGAAGAGAATGAGAACACAGAAAAGCAAGAGGGGACAGCCTTGGCAGTTAAACTAAAGATCTCTGAGATGCCACATGACTTCCCTGTATTTGAGGTTGCCATGGTGAGGGCAGATTATTAGAGCAGAAACTCTGTTAAAGGCATGTGGAAAGTCAAGAATACGTCTCCCCTCAGTAAAAGCTCTAACCAGAGCAATGTTTAACAATGGAAACTGAACCAAAGGTCTCTTAAGTAGACTTTGAGAGTTGGCATTCCCCCCCCCCACCCCGCCCAAGGGACAGGCCACACATCCCAACACCAGCAGGGGGCGCGCACGTCTAGTGAATGTGCCAGGATGTCCTTAGGAACTAAGCGTCTTAGGCGAGCCTGCCCCCAGTCAGCTTACAGCCAGCCTTTCAAATCACCACACAGATCCACACCATTCATTTGTAGTTCGGGTCTACAGGATCACATAGGATCCAATCACACAATTTCCCCATTAAGGAAGGGCAATGAAGTCAGTTCTAGCATATTTGGAAATCTAACTATTATGCCAAAATTGACTGTTTATTCAAAAAGAGTATTGTACCTTGCCCGAGTGCCTCAGATTTTATAATTTTTTTTAAAAAAAATAAAGACTCATTTATCCAGGTCTTAGTTGCACCAAAACATACGTAAAAAAGAGGATAAAGCAGTATTTCTCAAACTAGATTAATGTAAAGATCTATCTCAAAAGAAAAACAATATTCTTAGACCCCAAAACTATGTTTAGATTTTCTGTTTGAAACTTGAAAAACAAAAATATTAATCTGTGGAAATGGTTTTTAATTGCAAATTAAAGCATTGTATAAGTTTTATATTTAAAACTGATTTTAAAATGATGTTAGGTTATCATCAAATGAACAGATAAAATTTAAAGTTTCTCATAAACCTTGCAGACTCCTGACATATTTTGAGAAACAGAATGTATGGAAAACAATTATTTTAATGAATTTTTACTTTGGGAAAAACAACTATTGTAACTAGAAGGGAAATTTAAAAATCAGCATATTAACATTTTGCTATTTGAATAATTTTTCTCTTTGAATTTTTGACTAAAGAGAATGTATAGTAGGATCAAGTATGCTCATGAACTCTGTTACAAAAAGAACCCAACCTTCCAAAGACAAAAAGTCTTTGAGGACTGCTGTGTCCTCTCTCAACACATTTTGCTTCCTTATCTTTATGGAGGGTATTCTGAGCTGAGACAGATCATGGGCCAGAGGAACCCAATCTTTCGGACACCCTCCTAACAAGGGAGCTTGCCCATTGCAGCTAAGAAGACAATCCCCATAAAAATAAAAATAAGACAGGACTGTGGCCTTCAGTATTGCAGGCAACTTGGGAAACAGATCATGTACACATGATCCACTAGTGACAACTAGGGTAATATTTCAGTCTTATGAACATTTGTGATTATAAGGACAATAAACACAATCTCACTTGACACATGACCTATTTTAGTTCAGGAGGCTGTGGCAGAGACAGCATGAAACCAGCCTTCGGGGGTCTGTTGATGCACAGTCTGCCAGTGGGCCATACCGTGAAGGGTAAGGAATCTAGGTCAGGGTCACCGTGGGTTAATTTAATTTTCATCACTGCCTAAAGGGCTGTAAATGAGTATGGGGAAGGTGGCAGTTACCTGTTCAAAAGAATGGAGTCCACTTTCTTTTCCTAACCTCACCATGTCTTCCAAAATGGCTTTCTTCAGATCCTGAATTGAATCATATGAGTAAAATTACAAAGATCACATTTCAAAACGGAGGTAGAGGAAACAACACATTTTGAGTAAAGTGCTACTGGTGATTGGGCCGATATGTGCTCCCCCACCTTCTCCCACCCCCAACTGAGGCTGACACTCCTTGGCAGCATGCCAGTCACTACTTCACATCAGTTAAGGAGTCTGAAAATGGCCAAAGGAGTGACCATGAAAAGGCTAAGGGACACTCCTGTTTTTTTTAAGCAGCCCTTCTGTCAGCCTGGTTAGTCCTGCTACTCCGGATAAGCTCAGAGCCCAGTGGGAGAGGTAGGGCCTATGACTCAAGTGGCTGATGCTGAGTTGGAGCACAGAGACCTCCTATACAGAGTCCTACCTGTGCCATTAGAAAGTTTCAGGAAGGCATAAATTGTTAATGCTCAAAGCAGGAAGAATTGTGTTACTTTTTTAATTCTATGACTCTCTCTCTAAGCCCAGTAGCCACCTCACATTTGGAGGGAGTGTGGCAGGTGAGTCAGAAAGCCTAAACTCACATCTGTCTCTGCTATTAATTAACCAGCTGTGTGACCTTGGGCAAGTCACCTCCCTCCCTGGACTCCCTCTAAGCTACAAAACAACAGAGCTGGATTAGGCTTCTGTGATGTCTCTTGGCTCTAAAAATCAAGTTTGCCAATCTTTCTAAGTTCTTCAACAACAGTGAAAGACAAATCTCTGGTATAGGATTCCTACCCTATATAAAGTGAATTCTCTATGAAGTTTGAAATTCCTTATGAGTTCAAATACCACTGGACAGCTTTTCTGTCCTCGTTATGTGGCATCATAAAACACTCAGCAACCCTTCAGGAAACAGCCCCAAGATACTGACCTTATTTGTGCAGAGCTCTGCATATATCCCTTCAATTCCTCGCTTCTGGGCCCAGGAGGGCATGGCTTCAGGGTCAGGCACAACAATGCCCACCAAAAAGGCCTGCAGCGCCCACCAAAGGAAAACACAGTCATGACAAAAGCTTTTAAAGGGTTATCTGTGGTCCAGCATTAAAATTCTCAGACACTACACTTTTTAAAATATAAGTGTATGCTTATAAAAGACTTGCTCCTATGTTAGAAACACTTCCACCAATATATCACACATTCTTGACTGTTCATTTTCTGATATTTTCCCCTAATGTTATATTTTTAAAAATAAGGAGAGCTATGATCCAAATTCTATGAATGAAAATATATCTTTCCTAGGAATTACAGACAATTTTGAAATTGTTTCATTAATATGATCCTCATTCATGAAAAACTTTATTTTAATTTTTAAAGCATTTTCTTCAAAAATACTATAACATTTAATTATATAAATGTATAATGGTATAGAGTACGCTTGATATCTTTGCTATCATAGGATACACTCATAATATTTTTCTTTTTTTTTTTGAATTGAGGGGTCTCACTCTGTCACCCAGGCTGGAGAGTACAGTGGCATGATCATGGTTCACTGCAGCCTTGATCTCATAGGCTCAGGTGATCCTTCTGCCTCAGCCTCCCGAGTAGCTAGGACTACAGATACACATCGCCATGCCTGGCTAACTTTTAAAAATTTTTTGTAGAGATGAGGTCTTGCTATGTTGCCTAGACTGGCCTCGAACTTCTGGGCTTAAGCAGTTCTCCCGTCTTGGCCTCCCAAAGTGATTTCAGGTATGAGCCACCAGAATATATTCATGATCTTTCTGTCTTCAAATCTTAATGATGTTGAAAGCAAAGTAAGCATAAATCCCCTTCAAGTAATTTAATCCTCATAAACTATATTCAGATTAGTAATATTTGCAATACTGTATTACTCGATAAAGTTCATTTGCACAAAAAAATCAAAATAGCAAAAACCCTGAATCTTGCTTTAGCATCTTATCTCAAAAATCCCTCTTGGAAACAGATGGAGCATAAGTTAAAAGGAGTAGGAATGTTCATTACTACTACTTCAAGCAACTTACTTGACCTAACTGCATTGTCCCAAACTAATGAAGATTTCTTATTTAAAAGGAGTTTTTGCTCATGTTTTTAAACGCATAAAATGATGTCTGGAGATTAATATTTAATCTGGATTTTTCAGCAGGCCCAGTATGTGTCGGGGGCTGAAACATAGGGGCCTCACCTTTAAGCTGTCCCCATGGACATAGACTTGTGCCACAGGCTGGCTCCGGATGTAGATGTTCTCAATTTTCTCGGGTGCAACATATTCTCCCTGAGCAAGTTTAAATATGTGCTTTTTCCGATCAATAATTTTAAGAGTTCCCGCCTGTAGGGTTGGACAAACAGCATCATAAGAAATAGCACTGCCCTCACTCCTCAATGCCATAAGCCCCTCACCCCTGCCCTACCCCACTCTGCCGACTCTACCCCAATCTGCTCCTCTATTTTTTGTCTCTGCTCTTACAGAGGTGCATGTGGTTGGAGAGAGCCACCATGACCACAGGTTGATGACATCCAAGCTTTGTTGAGTCCTGAGTGTCCACCGTCCTTGCTCCTCAGCAATTAGTCCCTCACACGCCCGTTCCCATCCCTGCAACCCTCACACCCAGCAGCAGGTGTCCTCGCCTCTTCCTTTTCACAGGCCCACCTCCCTTCCATCAGGGCTCCCCTCTTGCCTAGACCTTTGCTCCAGTTGCCTTTTTTCTCATCAGCATCTTTGATTCACTTCCTTAGACCACACTCAGGCCTCTTGCCCAGCTACTGCCTCTACCCTCCAGAAAGCAGTCTTTCCGCCCCCTGGCATATAGCACAGATCTGGCAGAGGCCCCCATGACTCTATCTGACAAGCCAGATGGCACCAGGATCCTGCAGGGCCTCTGCAGCGGGCAAGTCTCTCCCTAGCGCAGTGAAAGCTGGTGCCACCAGCCTCCAGGACCCGAGCTCACCTCTTTGACTACCCTCAACCTGTGTAAGCTTCTCAGGTGGGCTTCTCTCCTTTGGCTTGACCCTAGAATGCTGCACTTTGCTCACCTCCACTGACAAAGCACCTTGAGGTAACTACCAGTTATCTCTTCATTGGCCACTCCTAAGTCAGTCTAAGCTTCCAGCTCTTCACTGAGCTCCAGACCCAGAACATAACTACTGTCAGGATGTTTCAAAAACCAGGACTTTTGTCTCATAGGATGCAACACACCTAAATGAAGCTCATGACCGTCCTCCTCAAGCCGGCCCCAGTCCCTGAGTCCCAAACCTGGAGATGACCTTGCTGTTTGCCTCTCCTGGGAACATCCATCCTTGCCCAAAAGTCCCTCTCACATCTACCTCCTCCTCCCATTGAAACCACTTCCTGATCAGAATTCTGCATACATTCTGTCTCCACTCCATCTGCTTGATCTGCCGGAATCAGAACAATATCTTCAGAAGAGAAAAATGAGCAGGCCCTGTTTTGCTCAAAACCCAGGCTGGATATCAGGCACTATGCTAGCTTCCTTGTTCCTCATGGTACCCCATGAGCTTGGTGTTATCATGTCTGTTTCACAGATGAGGAAAATGAGAATCAGAAAGGTTAGTTAACTTCTCCAAAGCCACTTCTCCTAAGAGGTAGGAGACTCAGGATTTGAACCCAGGTCCTTCTGGATCAGAAGACTATGCCTTTTCCTTGATCTATCTAATACTATCTCTTTTCTTTCTTTCACTCTTTTTCTTTTCTTTTGTTTTTTAGTGACAGAGTTTCATTCTGTCACTTAGGTTGGAGTGCAATGGTGTGATCCTAGTTCACTGCAACCTCAAACTCCTGGACTCAAGCCGTCCTCTTGCCTCAGGCTCTTAAGTAGCTAGAACTACACATACATACTACTATGCCTGGCTGATATTTTAATTTTATTTTTTTATATAGACAGAGTCTTGCTATGTTGCCCAGGCTGGTCTCAAACTCCTGGCCTCAAGCAACTAATAATATTTGAAAATAATATTTTTTTAAAGCACTAATGACTTTATAAATTATTTCTACTTACATTTCAAGAATGGAGCATTTAAACCTTGCAGACATTCTTATAGAAAAAAGAAAACAGGAAAAAAAAACCCACTTACCAACTAATTCAATAATCTAACACCAAAACAACAATAGAGTTGTATATAAAAGGAAAATTACAGATCAATCTCATTTATGGATATAAATGGAAAGGCCAAACACAATTTTTAGAAAAATAATATTTAAAAATCACATAATGATTAAGTTGAATTATATCAAGGATGCATGATTTGCTTTACATTAGAAACCTAAAATGAATAAGTTTTTGTTGTTGTTGTTTGTTTTTGAGTCAGGATCTCACTCTGTCTCCCAGGCTGTAGTGCCATGGCATGATCATGGCTCACCGCAGTCTTGACCTCCTGGGCTCAGGTGATCCTTCTGCTTCAGATTCCTGAGTAGCTGGGACTACAGATATGTGTCACCATGCCTGGCTAATTTTTTGATTATTTTTGTAGAGATGAGGTTTCACTATGTTGCCCAGGCTGGTCTTGAACTCCTGGCCTCAAGCAATTCTCCTGCCTTGGCCTCTCAAAGTCCTGAGATTAAAGGCATGAGTCATTGTACCTGGCAAAATGAATGTGTTTTTATCTCAACAACTGCAACAATTTTAATTAAATTTTAACAATCATTTTAAAATAATAATAATTTTTAAAATGGGCTCCCACATACTGTTGCCCACTGTCTTAGGCCCTGTGCTTGAGCACAACACTAGGTGCTTTACATGAATTAGTGTATTTGCTGTTTCTCACAGTCCCCTGTATGGTGAGTAGTTTTTTTCCAAGTTACTGAGCATCAGCAGCAGATCCAGGGACCTGTGGGCCTTCAAGCTTTTATAATTTTGAGAACCCTCTTTAGAAAAATAAAAGAATTAATATAGCTAGATCAAGGGAAAGGTATAGTCTTCTAATCCAGAAGGACCTGCGTTCAAATCGTAGTACCCCTATCTCCTAGCTGTATGGCTTTGAAGGAGTTAACTAGCCTTTCTGATCCTCATTGTCCTCATCTGTGGAACAGACAAGATAACACCCAGCTCATGGGGTGCCATGGGTACGGGGCCTTGGAAGAGGCCAATGCAAGTGAGGGGCCCTCAGACCGAAAGTTCCTGAGCTGGCAGGATAATCCACTCTCTTGCAGGTGTCCAGGGACCACTGACCTCTCCTGCTCCTCTCCCCTACACCCATGAGCCTTCAGTTGGTATGAGTTGCCTCACACCTCTAGTGCCTCTACTCGGCACATGCTATTCCTCTGCCTTGACTGTCCTTCCTACCCTCTCCTCTCCCCTTGGAATATGATGCACATCTTGAGACTTGGGACCTGTGGGTGCCTGTCCTCTGCCTCTCAAGCGAGTGTGGCTGAGAGTGAGTGTGCCCCCAGCACATGCCTATCACATTGAGTTGGGAACTGTCTACAGATGAATGTTCCCATGGCATACACCGGGGAGACGTCCTTGTCTGCAGCAGGCATAAGGGTATCTTAAAGGGAAGCATGCAGATCCAAGCAGGGCAAATCCACTTGCTGGCCCACAGGGCCCTGGTTCGGTTCAATATCATTCGTGTGCCTCAAAATGTCCAACTCAAATCCTAGCAACTTCCCAGAGACACAGGAAAGGTTCTTGGTGTGGGATGCATCAAGCAACGGTCCTCAGTGTCAGTGACAGAGACTTTTTCTGGTCAAAGCATTCATCTAAGTGTCTCTTTTGTGCCAGGCATTGCGCTGTGCTTTACAGGAATAACCTCATTTGTTCCTCACAACAATAACTATAGACATAACCAATGTTGTTATTCCCATTTATTAATGAACGAGGCAAACTGGTTTTGGCTAAAAGATGGGGACCACGGTCAAAGAATGCCATGAAGGTTTGCTCTCTTACGCCACAAGTGAGTCAAGGTGAAACCTGAGAGAGGAATGAGGCTTTGTTCAGTGTTACAAGGGCAACTTCTGGCAGAGCCAAAGGAACTCAGGCATCCTCCCACCTGGCTCCAAGCTTTTCTCTCTGCTCAGTGCCACCTCTTTGCTGGGGACCAGGGTCCATGGGCTAACAGGCCCTGCCCTTCTCAGATCTCCCAGAGATACGTACCTCCTGTTTCTCCTACTTCACCATTTCCACACATTGTCAGATCCCTTTCTGAAAACTATTAAGTAGAGGTAGTCAGTCTCCAAGGACCCCAGCTACACTGTCCTGCATAGATGCCTCACCACCTCCATGAGGCAGGAGAGGGAGATGGATGCATCACATAAGGAAAAGACTCCCCCCAGTTCCCAGAGGTACTCCTGAATGACTATCAAGGAGGATACAGAGAATCAGTGAACCAGATCACAATCCCTTCCACTGCTAAAATGTTTGGAGCTTTGTGGTTCAAATATACGCACTGGCAGCCATTTCCCGATGTCTCCAGTGTGGAGCCAGCCTTCGTTGTCCAGGGCCTCGTTTGTCCTGTCCTGATCTTTCAAGTAGCCCTTGAACACATTTGGTCCTCTCACACATATCTGTGGGGACAGAAATCATGACTTCTCTCAGCCACAGCGTAAGGAATGCAGTGATGGGAGGCATATGTGGAATAAGGTACACCATCCATCAGGAGAGTCACTGTGGGAATGGCAGTGATGGAAACAGAAGACAAGGAATAACCACCAGCCATCTCAACTGTCTCCTGCCTTTTCTCAAGTGTCATCCTCCCCATCTTTTCTCCCTGCCCTGGCCACCCCAGACCTCTGCCATCTCTTCTTCCTCAGGAGTCCCTGGCCTCGGCCACATGCTGCTTTGTGTGACACTTGATGGTCCTGTCATAGATGATGAGGGCTGGCTGATTCTACCAGAGGTGCTTGAGTCCCCTCTTTATTCACCAGGCAGTCAGCTTTCCTGCTCACTCCCATGGAATAAACAGGTGCAGGCTAGCTCTGCTACCCCACCTGGTCTATCTGTAAAGGGTGTGTTTCTGCTGGGACAGATCACACAGCAGCAGGCCATGACACAGTTGGGGGAAAAAATTGATTTTTTAAAAAGTTTGGGAATTCCAAATTTCAATTTAGACCAGCTCAGTCCCAGGACTGGGGTTAGTTGCCTTATAAACAGGATAGGAGATGCTGAATTCTGTTGAGTCAAATTAATCAGCAATTTTAAATGACTTTTTATACAAGGTGAAAGGAAGGTCATTTCCCACTGTTTTTGTTTTTGCTCACTACATTAGCATCTACAGACATAAATGGCTAAATCTTTAAGTTTACCTCTCCCTCTCCTTTGCAGGTCCAATAGTTCAGTTCCTCGACATCGACGAGCTTGATGTGATTACAGGGCAGCGGTGCCCCTACGTGCCCTAGAGCACCGGAGCAAAATGGCATTTGTTAGTGTTTAGATCATGTCCCATGAACCCCCCAAGTGGTCAAAGTGAGGAATTATGGGTGGAAAGCAACACCTTTAGAGAATTATTTGTCACTGGCAAGTATTGATGATAAAACAAAGTTCTGAAGACAGCAAAGGCCAATCTCTGCCTGGACTTTTGTTTTACGTTTGAGTCTACAGGGTCCTTGGATGGAGAGTGGGAAGGACCAACTACATGGTGAGGATTTTGTAGTGTCCATATTAAATTATTTCCCCATTGTCAGATCATACATCTTGGTTTGATCATAAAATACAGCAATTAGCCGGGCTGGGTGGCTCAGCCTGTAATCCCGCGCCTTTGGGAGGCTGAGGTGAGTGGATTGCCTGAGCCCGCGGGTTCGAGACCCGCCTGGGCAGGCGAGACCTCATCTCTACAATGAATCAAAAAAAAATTAGCTGGGCATGGTAGCGCGTGCCTGTAGTTCCAGCTACTTGGAAGGCTGAGGCAGAAGGATTGCCGGAGCCCAGCAGGTCGAGGCTGTGGTGGCCGGGAGCGGCCACTGCACTCCAGTCTGGGCGACAGAGTGAGACTCTAACTCAAAAAAAAAAAAAGATACAGCAATCACTGCTTTTCCTCTAGTCACCAGACTGCTGATTAAGGTGCATAGGAATCGTCTAGAAATCTTGAATTATAAATTCTATTTCAGGAAGCCTGCGATGAGGCCTGAGATTCTACAATTCTTACAGGCACCAAGGTGATACTGATACTGTTAGTCCCCATGATACATCTTGAGTAACAAAGGAATGAAGTAACTTGCCCCTCCCCCCCAAATTAAGACTCTGAATTCTCTTGGTCAAGTTTATCACAAAATTACATCTAAGTCATTTCCTAGTCATTGGCTGTGGTTGTTACATAATTCACTGGCAAGTTGGAGGGTTTTTAAACAGGTGCTGGCTGAGGTCCCGAAAGAAAAGTGAGCCATGCTTGCGAAAAGAGTAACACTTTGGTTTCTCTTTTAAAAGAGAGGCTGCCAAACCTTTTACAACACTATGCAAACATATCTGTCCTCATATACAATAGCCTTTACATAGGAATATGTAAAGGATGCTATAAGAGGGAAGAAAGTACCCAAAAGGAAGGAATACATGAGAGTGATTAGTTAACTGGATGGCAGCAGTAAGAAAAAATGAGTTAGCCAAAGATGGCTCCTGTAGGAGACTGGCCAGTGGCAAAGTGATCAAAGAATTTATATACAAAATAGCCTTTATCTAGAAATAGCCTTTATTCAGCCACAGTTTAAAGAGACAGAACTCAGAAAAAAATTGCTTCTATACTTGACTTGGTTAAATATATTTCAATTTAAAATCCACCTATCATGTTTCTGCTGACTATCTCAAGGTACTCCTAAAATAATATTTATTGCATCAATGAGCATATTTATTTCACATGCACATCATCCCAAATTTTCCAGTTTGTAGTTGAGCAAACTAAAGCACAAAGAATGGTCCCAGGCTCACAGAGGAAGTCAGTATCCTGAAAGACTCTTTTGCTGAGTGGTTTTCAGATTCTTCCAGGATCTGATCTAAAGTTGTTGATAGGTAATCCATGGGCTACCTACTACAGATTTGCTTCTCCTTTGGCTTGAAAGATTAACCTTCTCAGAATGAGGGTGAGGATGGCAGCTACTCCCTTCTAAGGTTGCTGCTGCCTTCTAGACATTAATATCACAGGAGACCATAGTTCCTGAAAGTCCTATAAAGTGTCCCTTTAAGAAACTGTGCCCTGGCCACTATGGATCTGCCTCTCCTTTACAAGTTAGAGGCGATTCATAACCTGTATCCTTCATCCAAGAATTACTGTAAGCAAGACTGGGTAGTATCTAGAATCTATAAAACCCAATCCATTAATATTATAAGCATTTTTCCACTTAGAGTTATACCTTGTGGTTTACCATTCTTTTTCATACCTTCCATATATCTACAGCAGAAACAGAAAAATGCAAAAATATGTAACAAAGAAAACAACAGATCCACAATGCCACAACCCAGACATAACCATCATTAATGTTTTTTTTTCTTCTATCTCTCTTGCCTTTTTCCTAAATGCCCATGCAAATTTAATTTCCATGAGGGAGGTTTAGAGCCTTGCTGCTTTTGCTCAACAGTGGCTTGTAAGGCAGATCCACATCTCCAGCCCATCCTACCTGAGGTCCAGTCCCCTGGCGTGGTGAAGGTACATCCAGCTGTGCACTCAGTTTGACCGTAACCTTCATAAACCTTCAAAACATGAAAAGCGCAATGTGGGCACACACCCTCCAAGAGCTGACTGGCTGCCCCTTTCAGCAAGTGAACCTTCCACTGAGCGTCTGGCTGCTCCATGATGAAGACAGTGGAGGGAGGTGCTCTGGAGGGAGGTTGCTCTGGAGGGTTATGCTCTGGAGGGAGGTAACTTCAAGTGAAGTTGGACACAGACAACAAGAGTGGCCACATTTGCTAGGTAAACGTGCTATTTTTGTTGTTGTTGTTGTTTACTAAGAAACTTAGTAGATAAGGTTATATCATTTGGGGTAAAGATCTCAGTTCTATTTTCAATCATTGGATCTATTTTTCATTTGATGATATGTGTTAAAGATAAATATTTTAAAATCCACTATATGTTTTATTCTGTCTCTATAGAGTATTTCCCTCCAGCGCCCTACCTGTTTGCATGAATATACCACGTGGAAGAGTCTGCCTTTAGAAATGGTCGGGCCATGTTGGTGTAAAATAGGACAGTGTAAAAAGCTTATGGCTTCTAAAGCACCAAAATTTAAGCATGTACAATTAATAAATGGACAGGCTTACTTTATTTAAAATCCATCATCTCCAACCATGTTATGATACCCTGCGTAGGCAGAAACTTAATAAGTATCAATTGAATGGATACATGAAGAAACAAATGATAAAACCTATTGAATTAAATAACAACACAAAAATGGGCTTTTATCTCCTCCTTTGTTCTTCTTTTCTGGGCTGGGAGATATTTTGTAGGCTGAAGAAAGCAGAGATGCAGTACAGGTATGGTACAGATTCTCCAGCACATTGATGATCTATATATAGCTTACCTGATCCCTTTGCCCTTTGCTAAAAACTTTCAAGGTCCCAGGTCAAGAAATTTCCCAGAGTGAATACTCCTGGGCTTTCCAGAATGTGGCACGGCCATCCTGGCTCTGGGTTTTTTTAATACGCAGAGAAGGGAGCTTTTATCCCACAAAAATCTTGCCCCCAGGACCTTTCTCTGTTTAACAGAGGGTATAACAGTTTTCCTTCCCTAACTTACTTCCCACTACCCATGGAAATGGCCACACACTGACAATACCTGGCACCCTAAAGCTGCCCGGAGAAATCCCAGGACTGTTGGTGATGCCGGGGCTGCTCCAGTAACAATCATCCGCACACACCCACCAAGACTGGCCTGTGGGAAGAGAGAAGAACCTGCCAAAGTTTGTGATCTCTGAGATAGTATCCAACCCATCTGGGCCTCATTCAGGGTCAACATTCAACAGTTGGACTTTACCTGGACACTAGGGTTAGGATAAAAAAGAAGACCTGAGGCTGAACAACACATGAGCCCAAGAAGTCCCTTCGTCTTCTGACTGATAAGTCCAATCAGCTCTGCAACTCAGCCCACTGTCTGACCAATTCTTTCAAGCCTTTTGAGATAAGTGCCATCAGTCTTGGTGGCAATCTGTAACATTGGTTCTCCCTTTCTTAAAATATACAGCTCTTCCCTCACTCTCCCATCATTCACAAGCATCTAAAACAATTACTTAGGACAATTTTTTCCAACATCCAGTTCAATGGCCTTGCCTTTTTTTTTTACATGTATAAATCAATACCATGCTTTATTTACTATGTACTGCAGAGGACAAAAAATACTTGAAACACTTTGTTTCTGTAAGTTGAGCCAAGAGAGTTTAAATATTCATTTTTATAACTAAAAATAAAGTAGCACGAAAAAATGAGTAATGCTACTAATTAACTACAGATTCCTTGGGTAATGCAGAGCTTGAAAACTTTAGTGGAGGTACAGAAATGAGTAAGTCATGACTGTCCTGGTTTGGAAGAGATTAAAGGGACAGGACGCAGGGAAGGAAAAGAAGATTTCAAGGTTGGGTGTGGTGGCTCACACCTGTAATCCTACCACTTTGGGTGGCCCAGGAGAGAGGATTGCTTGAGTCCAGGAGTTCAAGGCCAGCCACAGCAATATACCAAGACCTCAGCTCTACAATATAAAAAAAATTAGCTGGGTGTGGAGGTGCATGCCTGTAGTCCCAGCTACTCGGGAGGCTGAGGCGGAAGGATTGCCTGAGCCCAGGTCAACGTTGCAGTGAGCCATGATCGTGCCATTGCCCTCCAGCCTGGGCGACAGAGTGAGACCCTGACTCAAAAAAATAAAAAAGAAGATTCTAGACCATTTAGCTAGAACCTCAGGCTGCTGGACAGCCACCCTGGCTAGGATTACAGGGAAGGGCAAGAGAAGTTTCAGGCCCCAGGAGTTCCTCAGTAGAGCACTAACCTGACCACCCAGGGGCAAAGCCACCCTGATATTTGTGGTGATTAAGGAACCTACTTTCCAGGGTAGGTTTCCTTTTTGCTGGTTGCCTTTGGGCTAATATAGCACATCTCCAAAGATTAAAAAAAAATAAGTACTTTAAAACTTCAGTGATAGCTTTCACAAGCAAATGAGTTTTTATTTTATAAGATAACATGCCACTGGGCTGATCTTCTCTAAGTTTCCTGTAAGGACACCCATTGGACACTTAGGTGTCACTCTATAATCACTTATTCATTTTCTTACCTGAATCTTATTAAAGAAGAGTTCGTCCCAGATACTGTCATTCCTGATGATTCCACTTCGGACCTCGGCCTGCTTACGCTTTGCTGCAAACTCCAGGAGCCAGCGCTTTAATGGTGTGTTTGCCTGGCTGAAGATCTGAGGAACACAAGTTGAAAACAGCAGTCGGGGCCTGAATGTCTCACCTCCAGACATAATCTCCAGGAAGAAGGCCCAGACTGGCTGGCTGAGAAGCCATGTTCCATTGTACCCCTCTAGGAGGGTACTCAATGTGTGACATGGAGCTGAAAGTTAACACTGCCAAGGTCCAGGCATGCCGTGGAGATGAAAGTTCCTGGGGGGAAAAAAATCTCCCCAACCAGGGTTTTGGAGAACAGGAAGAAAACAGAAGAAGGAAGAGTGAGAAAGAGTCAGGAAATACAAGAGGAGGCAATTTCCAGGACCCAGGGGTGGAGGCATGGAAAGTCTTCCTGGGGCTCCAGACCCAGTTCATACAAGCAGACATGCAGCCCCTGGGCCTGGTCAGAGGCTCCCTGCAGGATTTACCTTGTCATACATCCTATTCAGCAGTCGTGGAACCACCGGGAAGATGGTGGGGCACAGAGCCTTCATGTCATCCGAGAGGAGGCGGATGTCTCCCTGGAAGAAGCCAACACGCCCTCCGTGGCAATAGACAACAGACTGGAGGGAAAGAATAGGAAGAGAGGAATCCCTTAGGGCAGTTACTCCTGGCTGCAGTCTAGAGCTGTCCCATGTGCTGCCCAGCATGGAAGGCACCCATGACCCCTTGACCCAGCTCTGGCTCCCGCCATGAGACACTCCTGCCATGAGAACACTATCTGAGTGGAGCCCCCCCACCTTCCCTCTAAGTCCTGCTTAGGTACAGGGAGAGAAGTGGGAGATAGAGTAGAACCCTGAGTCTGTGGGTTGTGCCAAAGGAGCCATTCTTACTGGTGCCTGTCCCCTCATACCCATTCTCAAACCATGGACATGGGTACCCCTGGAGACTCAGGTCTCTTAGAGGTTATACCCTATTAATGGGTCTGCTCCAGGTCTTAGGGAGTCTTTGGATTTCCTCAGGGACATCTTAGCAACTCTGGAACGGTGTGCAGTCCCCATAAGTACTGGAGATGCTGCTGAGGTTGGCTGTGGGTACGTTTTGTGGGAGGCAAAGGGGGAGAAAAGATGGTTCCTAATGGGACCAGGAAGACACCAAGTGCCATGTATATGCTCCTTTCTTTACTGCTCATAGTGACCCTATAAGGGAGGTAGATTCCTAATCCTCATTTTACAGGTGAGGAATGCAAACCACAAAGAGTTAAGTGATTTACCCAGGGTCACACAACTAGTTAACAGTAATTGCTGGCATTCTTTTTTTTTTTTGAGTTGGAGTCTCACTCTGTCACCCAGACTGGAGTGCAGTGGCATGCTCCCGGCCACTGCAGCCTCGACCTGCCGGGCTCCGGCAATTCTTCCACCTCAGCCTTCCAAGTAGCTGGAACTACAGGCATGCGCTACCATGCCCAGCTAATTTTTGATTTTATTGTAGAGATGAGGTCTCGCCAAGTTGCCCAGGTGGGTCTCGAACCCGCGGGCATTCTAATCCAGGTCTGGAAAGCTGGATAGCATGCCCTATTATATGAGATCTCCCCCAAGGCAAAATGGAAAAGGCTTAGAAGACACAGTTTATTCATAGGCTAGTCCCTTGAGTGACACACGCATGGAGAATTCTTTGTCTCCATAATCACATATGGATTCCTCCCCCCACTCTCTGTACCCCCACACAAAGCCTATCTAGGCCAGTCTAAGGCCAGTTCCCATCCACATCCTGAGGAGCCATGACAGTTTGATTACCCAATTTTACTGTTTTGTTTGTTTTAGGAATTTGTGAGTTACCAAAGTTACAGAACATTACTTTGGGGGGGGCATAAATGTAGCTATACTACACAGAGCTTGAATGGTAAAGCACTTCTGCAAAGCTGCAATGCTGTCTGAGCAGATGGCATCAGCTGCAGTCTCTCTCAGCTGAGGTATATCCATGGGTAAGACGGGGTAGGCCTGGGGTCCTCCCTGGAACAATGCTCCCAGGAGGGACAGGTGGGGTGGCCAAGGTCCTCTGAGCCCTCTGACCTTTGTGGTACCTTCTGAGGACAAGGTAGTTTGATCCTACTTCATGCCACCAGTAACAAGTGACACCCTGCTAGGGTTATGGGTTCTAGGCACAGATTGTGCCTCCCTGATGCCAGGGCCTTACCTGCACCATTCGCTCAAACATGTGTGCTAAAGGCAAATAGGAAATGTGCACATCCGCACAAGTGGGAGCCCACTGACTCTGTAAGAAAAAAGAAGGAGCCCAGGCAAGGCCCGGTCAGTCAGGTGAGTGTCTTACCTGGATTACTCTCTCAAACATGTGAGCCAGAGGCAGGAAGGAGATGAGCACATCGTCCTGTCTCGGAAAGATCACTTTCTGCAGGTGACGGGCATGGGAGACAGAAAGGAAAGAAACACTGACAGGAAGACGACAAGAGAGTCATAAAACAATAAAGAGAAAATGGTCCTGGAGGGGCAAACAGGAAGAGGGGAAGGGGGAATGGGAGAGGGCAGTAAGAACAGAGAGAGAGACAGAGAGACAGAGAGAGAGAGAGACAGAGAGAGAGAGAGAAAGAGAGAGAGAGAGTGAGATAGAGGAAATGAGAGATAGAGTGAAGTTGGGGGGGAGAAAGAGGAAAGGTGCAGAAAGAAAAAAGAGAGAGACAGAGAGACAGGGCAGCATAGGAAGCGGAGTGTTAGGTTGCAGTGCCAGTGGGTCTAGGTTATCTGCAGAAGCAAAGAGCCAAATGAAGCACACATAAACCAGCAGAGTCTGGCTCCGCAGGGAAGTCTCCTCTTGGGAGGGCCTGCACCTCACTTGCAGTCAGTTGGAGCCAGCCTGGCTCTCTCCCCTTCCTCTCCACAACTGCAAGATATACCCCACATCCCATTTTCCCAGGCTCCCTGGGCCACCTGGGCAGGGATTCAGGTCTTGGCTGGTCAGTACTTTCTAGTCCTTCTCGTAGAGAAAGGAGCCCAGCCCTAAGTCTATGCCAACTGTGGCAGGGGTATGAGCCCTGGACAAAGGAGGAGACAAGGCCAAGCCCCAAACAGGTGACTGAACCTGGCCTCACAAGCCATGCCTGGAACCAGGTACTTCACGGGGAAAGCTGACAGAGATCCCCGCTGAGCCCCACCAGCACAGCCAGGGCCCCAGGTCACTTTACACAGATGAGACTGGCCCTAAGGACAGGGGCTGCTCCAACCAAGGGGAGCCCTGCACAAGACTGGGGCTCAGGGGTGGGCCTGTGCCTTTAGGAGCTCTCCCTGCTGCACTTTCCTCTCCCACCTCTCTCCACCCTCTCACAGAGGACTTTCACTCTTCTGGGCTGAATCTTGGACCAGTTTGGACAAACCTTGGGAACCTGGCTCACAGCTCCTAACCTGGGCTCAGCCACCAATCGACTCTCACAATTTTCTGCCAAAATATATAACAAAAGTTATATATTTTATCATCTAGCATGAATGTGGAGAGTGACTTTTCTTCACATCAGAGGAGAAGTCCAATTTTTATTAAAAGAGACATCCCTTTATTCTGAAGGAAACTGCAGGACATACTCACCACTTGTGGGAAAATTCCTCCTTTCTTAGCCAGTTATAAAATGCTAACGTGCTTTGGTCAGGCCAGGATATCAAAGCATCTTTGATTTTAGATTTACCTTTAAGTACAGCTTTATAAATTAGCAGTTGCCATTGTTATTCAGACTCTAGTAGTCCTGAACACAAAATGACTGAATTAAATTCTGGCCTACTTAAAAAACAAGTTATTAAGGATTACTTTCTAAATAAATGCACAAACAAAACCATAGGTATGTCAATTTTTGAAGTTAACAAATAAAAAATAGGTTAACATGCTTTTCTTTCTGGGTTCTTAGTACTACTAGAAATCAATTGAATATCAGGTTATAGATCATTTCAGTGTTTGGGATTAAAAGTGGCTGTAAAAGTAGGGCTGCTTTAATTACAGCAGAAACTCCTGCCTCTGAATGGCAACCCAGATTATATCAGGGAAAAAAAAAGAAAATAAACAAATAAAAATCCTCAGAGGCTTGAGGTTGTCCTCAAGAGACCTGCATTATTAGTAAGTCTACTTTATTCACCTCTGTCACTTTCAGAAAGCCTGAGAAATCAGCCACCACGTTCCCATGGGTGAGCATAGCACCTTTTGGGTTCCCTGTAAAAAGAAAGCAAGAAGGCAAATTAATTTGAAGCTCAAGGGCCAAGTTGGCAGTCCCAGACTCCCAGGCTGTCCACCCAAGCCTCCAGCCTTTGTCCTCAGCTACCTCTAGACTTCTGGGCAGATGGATGCTGCTTCAAGGACTTGCAGCCTACAGATACTCAAAGCCCACCATGTGGGGACAGTGGTGAGAACAGTGGGTTAAAAGAAATCTTATCCCTATGACCAGTTGATCAGGGCAAAAGGACACCCTCATCAGGGGGAGACAATAAGGCATATACCAGAGGTAGAAGCTGAAGCACAGCAGAAAGCAGACAACTCAAGGCAGGGAACTGCCTAAATCAAGAGAACTCATGAAAGCATTCATCAAATAGAGTGAATTTTAGATATCTGCCCAAAACCATCTCCTGACTTTCATATTCCACTTATTCTCCCTCCGCACTTCAAACCCGGTGAGAGAGGAAAGAAACCTCCATTAGCAAGCTGGAGGAGGAGGAGGAACACCAGAGAGGAAAAGAGGAAGGGCAACCATGCCCTGTCTGCCAAGCCTGAGTCAGCCCTTGCTGGGGAAGGGCAGAAGTCTCAGTGAAGTGTACCAACTCCTATTTTTGACTGACATTTGTAATTCTGAATTAAGACTGTGTTTGTGTCTAGCAATGGCAATGGGACTTTTTGTTACCCAAGAGTGACCAGAAAAGGCATGAGATACCTGAGTTCTTACCCAGGAGCAGAAAAGAATAAAAACTGCCCTTACTGAGCAAATGTAAAGAAACGAATGTAGACAAAAATAAAGTCACTTTCATAATTATATCCCATGAGGCCTACTTGTTCAACTTATTGGTGACCTATTTGTCAGAAACAAGAGCATCAGTCATGGCCTCATCTTTCAATTCAAGAGACAGACATAGCCATCTGACCAAGATATGTGGTAGGCAGGATTTTAACCTGCACTCTGGCATTTCTACCCATATTGCAAACCACAGAGGTGATTCTGGGGACAAAGAAGGTTATATAGTTTTTCGTTGTTGTTGTTGTTTTGAGTCAGAGTCTCACTTTGTCACCTGGGCTGGAGTGTAGTGGCACGCTGCTCACGGCCACCACAGCCTCAACCTGCTGGTCTCACACAATCCTTCCACCTCAGTCTTCCAAGTAGCTGGAACTACAGGCACGAGCCACCACGCCCTACTAATTTTTTTTTTTAATTTATTGTAGAAACGAGGTCTCGCCATGTTGTTCAGGCTGTTCTCGAACCCAGAATTACCAGAACTCAGGCAATCTTCTCGCCTTCGCCTCCCAAAGTGCTGGGATTATAGGCATGAGCCACCATGCCCAGCAGATTTCTTTTCTTTTTCTTTTTTCTTTTTTGAGTCAGAATCTTACTCTGTCACCCAGGCTGGAGTGCAGTGGCACACTCACGACCACTGCAGCCTTGACCTACTGGGCTCAGGTAATCTTTCCATCTCAGCCTTCCAAGTAGCTGAAACCACAGGCATGCACCACCACACCTGGCTACTTTTTTTGATTTATTGTAAAGGTCTTGTCATGTTGCTCAGACTGGTCTCAAACCCCTGAGCTCAATCAGTCCTCTCACTTCGACCTCCCAAAGTATGAGATTACAGGAGCCACTGCGCCTGACTATATAGTTTTAAAAGTTACATTTTACTAATAAATAGCTGTCAAAATATCTTCCTTTTGAAAAGGAAAAGAGCCACCTCTCCACCTGACTTTCTTTCATCCCAATATCTTTCCTCAAATCTAGGCTCATACTAAGACATTTTCTTGAATTGTCTCTTATATACACAAATCCCACAGAGCCCCTGGGCCCACAAAGTATTCTGAGAGTCACCTGGCAATTTTCACCAGTGGACTTTCAGGTTCTGGAATTTTAGAAGGTACATCCCCCAAATACTAGTTAGAAATCAGAAGTGTCACAAAATAGAGTCCTGTGCTACAGAGTTTTAGATCCGTGAGGTTGGCCGACTTGCTTATGCCTGATATAGCCTCAGGGTGGATGGTCTGAGAATCTCAAGAAAAGGCTGTCTTTATTGATTAAAAAAAAATTATAAAGTCTCCATTCAGTTCAGGCCAAAGCGCACAAAACAGTAGTATTCAGTTCCACTTAGTTAGATAAGACTTTTTCTTCTCCAACATCATGTGAAAAGTTCATGCCTTTTAATTTTCTTGTGATATGAATGTAATTTCATAAACTTCTAATGACCCATAGAATTTTATAATATTCCCAGACATGTTCAAATTCCTTCAAGTCATCTCTACATGTGGTCCCAAAGGCTGGAGGAAAAGTGAATGTTGACAACACATTTCAGGGGATGACTGAAAGGTCCAGTTGGGAGGTTGAGATGAGCCTTCAGAAGGCTTTGACTTGCTTCTCTGACTCAGGGCCAATATATACCTCTGGCAGCATTTCTTTTAAACATAATAGTTTTCCAAGTTCCTCACATGGAAAAACAGTCTAAGCCTTCCTAGACTCCTATGTGCAGTCAAGTCTGTGGAATCAAATTGCTGATTTTCTCTGGTTCTCCCCTTTTCTGGTGAAACATCAGTGAAAGGCACTGCCTGCCACCTAGGCCACCAGTGTCTCAGCAATATGAGACGTACTGTTCATCTCCCATCTTCTACTCATAAACTGACCATCTTGCATTTAATTTTCTCTCCAGTTTCTGAAGAAAACTCTCCTAGTTTTAGATTCTACAAATGGCATTTTGGTTTTGGCCGGTGTTCCTTTGGCAATGTCCCATGGATATTATGCTGAAAGGTATTTTGTTGGGTGAAGATCTGCCCAGGTTAGATGTTGGCTCCAAGAGAGCATGGTTGTGGGGTGAAGCTGCGTTCAAGACTTCTCCTGCAGGGGTGGGAATGGGATTTTGGGACAGTGCTGGGTTCTCTGGTTGAGGGCTATTCTGGCTTCTGGTTTCTGTCTTTACAAAGTCAAAGGTGGGTTATAATAGCTACAGGAGACTGAAATGCTCTGGAGTTTTACAATGCAGGCAGAGTGTTCACCTTCCTGTTAAAGGCTCCTGTTAAAGGATTGAGTCTTATCAATTCCATACCCACCAATTTTTAAACAATCAGACTTCAAGGCTAGTAGGAATAGAAATAATAACTATAATAGTAGCCAATTATTCAATATCCACTAATGTTGGCACTGTGCTAGGCATTTCATATATCGTAGATCAGTTTTTTCTTGAAAAACCCCTATGTGATGTGTATTAAATGTATTCATTTAATACCCAAGAAAACAGAGGCTTAAGAGGAAGTAAGCAGGTCTAAAGCTACACAGCAGAAATGCTGAGATGTAATTGCATGTGTATGATCATCCAAGTCTTGAACCGAATGGTACAAAATGAATAGGTCATGGTGAGTCTTTTCCCAGAAAGCCTACCTCTGAGTAGTCACAGTTCTAGGACTAATGGGCATTTACATATTCAGCTAAATAACTGCAGATGACTGGGCTTTCATGGGCATCCTCAATTAGAACACAAAGAATGCCCCAGTTCCATGGCTTCCACCCTTCAGCCTCCCAGCCCCACTGTGAGTGCTTAGAACTGATCCAGTCAGCTCCCTCATGCTATGACTCCAAAAATATGACCCTTCCGTTCCTGTCTTCCCTCTTACTCCTCTCTCTCCAAGCTGACTACCTTCAGCCACTCTCCTGCGAAGTGCTTTGGCTCCTGGGCTTCCTCTGGGGCATCCAATTCTAAAAACCCCATCAAGACAACCCAGCAGCCCACCTTCCCATCCTTCCCATTGCATGGTCCCTGAGACTCACAGCCTCCAGCTCGAGAGGGACTTTCTTCCCAGAAATTGTCCCACATGCCCCCTGCCTTAGACTCCTTTTACCCTCAGCCAGGGCCCAGACTCCCCACTCTACAGAAGAGGCAGAAACTGCCAGAGGGCTCCCTATATCTTCCTGGTCTCCCAGAACCTCTCTTCCTTTTTCCTTCCTAGCTGGGCCATCTCTTTCCTGGTATTTGGAAGCCTCTTCTCTCTCTACTTACACCAAAGCTTTGGGAGTTTTGCTCCATCGAGTATCACCTCCTTTTCCTCTATCTCTAGTGACCCCTTTTCAACCATAAGAAATACCTTCAGGCATTTCCAGGAAAACAATAAACCCTCCTATCAATTCCATGGCCCCCACAAGCTGCCAGTCTTGCTGTCAACCCTTCACAGTCAACTTTTTTGTTTAATAAACTTTCTCTTCCAGTATAACATACACATGGAAAAGTACCCAAATAAGTGTAAAATTTAAAGTTTTCCACAGTTTCCAAAGTGAACTGACCTGTGCAGCCAGCACTCAGATCAAGGAATAGAACATCACCAGCATCCCAGAGAGCCCAGGAACCCTTCTAGGGTGCCACTATCTTGGAAGGGATCCACTAGCTTGATTTCTAAAACCATAGAAGAGTTTATCATGTTTTGTAATTTTATATAAAAGAAATAATATAATCTTTCATTCCTCGTTTCTTTCACTCAATGTTATGGCATAATGTTCTATCATAGGCTAATAACATTTCATTGCTGATGGACTTTTGAGTTGCTCCCAGATTTTGACTATTACAAATAGTGTTGCTATGAACATGCTGGAGCATGCCTTTCATTGACATAGCCAAGCTTCTTGAAAGAACTGTGCACACACTTGTGTTGAATTGACATCGTCACCTCTCATTAGCAAATCAGTTCACTGCAATCAGCTTCTCCCTCCCCCCACACCCCATGACCAGCCTTTGTCAAGCCCAGCAGGTGGTTTTGTGATGACATCCTCCAGGTACAATTTAGCCACAAATAGTGCTGATGGATTCTGTTTTCCTCTAGCCTCTCCTGCTGCTTCTGCTCAGGCCCTATTTAGAACTATCTCATCATCCCTCTCCTGTCAGTGCCCCCAGGCCTTGCTCCCAGCCCTCTATTTTCCTCATTTGACCCTCCCTCAAAGCAATATTTTCTGTGTTGCTGCCAATCCTCTGCACATGCTCTTCCTTCTGCTGGGAATGCCCTGCCCCCGCTACTCCTCCAGCTACTGATCTTTCAGGACTCTGCTTAGACTGACTTCCTTTGGGAATCCTTTTTTTTTTAAAGACACATTTATTCAGTGTCATGATCAGACTATTACATTTAGCAATCAACAGCATGGGTGAAAAAAAATCTACATTTAAAACCCTTTGTTGAAATGCTTTACCCTTTCCACCAAACAGACAGTAAAATAACCTGTTACACAATTAGTCACAAACACAGTTCTCAACTATTTTGCCCATACACGTGAGTATTGTCTAAACATGTCTTCTTTGTAGCAGCTAGGCCCTGCCACCACTGTCCTCGGCTGAGTTCACCAATCTGTAGCTTCCCTGTCACTTCTCTGGCTCTCATCTCCTGATAAGTTTTGTGTCCTGGCAGTAATTAAAATCTTCTGCCACTGCCATAGCTACTGCTGCTGCTAGAACCACCATAGCCACCTTGGTTTCGTGGTCTGGCAAAATATTGGTCTCCACCATCATAGGGGTCAGAGCTTCTGCCTCCAAAATTTCCCCCTTTATGGGTCCAAAATTTGAAGATTGATTGTTGTAATTGCCAAAATCATTGTAACTTCCAACGCCTCCAAAATGGTTTCTATCATTACCAAATTCATTATAGCTATCCCCACTGCCACCATATCTACCACCACCATGACTGCCTCTTAAAGCCACCACGGCCACTGAAGTTTCCTCCATGACCAAAGTTGCCATTCCCACCGAAACCATCACTATGACTGCCACCAAAGTTTCCAGAACCACTTTGACATCTTTGGCTGGATGAAGCACTAGCCATCTCTTGCTTCAACGGGGGTTTTCCTTACTTCACAGTTGTGGCTATTCACAGTATAGTGTTTCTGAATGACAATTTTATCCACGGAGTCATGGTTGTCAAAGATTAAGAAGGTAGAGCCCCTTTTCTTGCCACTGCCTAGGTCAGTCATGATTTCAATCACTTCAATTTTCCCATAATGTTCAAAATAATCTGTTAGGTGATGTTCTTCAGTGTCTTCTTTAATACCACCAACAAATATCTTTTTCACAGTTAAGTGGACACCTAGTCTTTGAGAATATTCCCTCAAGATAGCTCTCTTTGGTTCCACAACTCTTCCATCCACCTTGCGTGGCCTCGCATTCATGACTGTGTCCATCTCCTCCACAGTGGCATACAAAATAAACCCAAAGTCCCTGGATTGCTTGGTATTTGGGTCTCTCATTACTACACAGTCCATGAGTGTTCCCCATTGTTCAAAATGACTCCTCAGGCTCTCATTGATGGTTTTGAAGCTCAGCCCTTCGAACGAAGTGCATTCATAGCTGTTCAGGCTCCTTAAGGGATTCTAACTTAGACATGATGGCAGTGGAGAGAGAGACTTTAGTGATGCTTCCTCAGCGGCGTCTACAGGCAGAAAGGTGGGAATCCTTTTTGTCCTGCTGTACTGACCTTTCTTGGTGGCTGGGTACCCTGTGCACCTGGGATGCAGACCTCAAGGCAGTGACCATGTTGTAACTGCCTGATGACATAAGCTGTGAGCTCATGAGTGCAGGGCTATTGTCTTCTCCAACCCTATGTCCTCAGCCCTTAACACTAGGTCTGAGACATGGTGGGTGCTCAAAAAATGAGTTGAATGAATAAATATACATAAATTAGAAAAAGAGTGCTAAAAACACATAGACTGAGGAGAGTATGTTTTTAAAAACCACTGCATTTTCTTCCCTGGGAAGATAAGGTACATGAACTCATAAGAATACAACATGTTAACTATCATCCAAGGGTCCCAGTTTTCTAAACTGGGCTGTGTCACACTCACAAATTATCTTATTTTCCTGATGGATGGGGGATAGGGTTCAGATTCCAGTCTGGCTATTAGTTCTTTTGAAATGGACAACAAATTACATACCCACTCATCAACCATCACTGGGTACAGAAAACCCACAAGCTCTCACCTCCTCCCAGGCCTTCTTGGCCTGACTAGGGACTCCAAAACATTGGCTTATTCCAGGAATCTCCACAGATCTTTCGTTTGTTTGTTTGGTTTTTGGTTTTTTTGAGTCGGAGTCTTACTCTGTCGCCCAGACTGGAATGCAGTGGCCGCTCCTGGCCCCCGCAGCCTCCACCTGCTGTGCTCCGGCGATCCTTCAACCTCAGCCTTCGAGTAGCCGGAATTACAGGCACTCGCCACCACGCCCGGCTGATTTTTGAGTTATTGTAGAGATGAGGTCTCACCAAGTTGCCCAGGCAGGTCTCGAACCCATGGGCTCAGGCAATCCACTCACCTCAGCCTCCCAAAGCATGGGATTACAGGCTGAGCCACTGAGCCCAGCTCTCCGCAGATCTTTCCACCACATGCCAAGAAGGAAATCTTCCTGGAATGAGTCCTCCAGAACCATGGGCCAAATGTCAGGTTCAGATCATATTTTCCATCTTTACCCACTGAAAGAACAGCATGGCCCTTGATGAGGCTGGGAGACAGGGCATTCAGCTCACATGTAAGGGAAGCTGTATCCGGGCTGTGATGCTGAGGATACGCAAGGTTGATATGCCCGGCATGAGGATGAGTACAAGAGGCACAGCACAGGTTTAGTCTAAAGCCAAGAAAACCCAAGCGCACAGCCAGGCAGGGTGATAATCAGGCCAGGGGACCTGCTCGCTTGCCCAGCTCTGCCCAGCACCAACCATACCTTCGGAACAGGGAGGCTGGGACACTAAATCCCAACTTGTTTTCCAGGCTCCATACATTCTGCTTCCACCACACAGAACTTGAGTAGGTCAGCTCAGATTTCGATTGTGAATCCACAGTCTGAAAAAGCACTGAACAAAATATTTGCCCTCTCTGGCCTGGCAACAGCACATTTCTGCATCATGAAGTTCTTTTTTCAGATTGGGTGCAATATATGTGACCAAGTGACTTGTTAAAAGCAGAAAAGCACTCCTTGAAGGCAGAGGTCCAAAGATAAGGCCACATCAGTGACTTACTCCCCAAAAGCACGTCACCAAAATTCACATTGTAAAACTCATGACAAAAAGACAGTGGGAGGCTTCTCAAAAAGGCAGCATAAACCTGAAAGGCATTTTTGAATTCTGGGTTGGCTCTGGGGGTCAGCTCCTGGAGAACAAGGGCTGTGTTATTTCTTTGCTTGAGTTGAGCAGAGTCGGTGAAAATCCTCAAACCCATGTGAGTTAATGGCAAAAATCCACCTTGATTAAATAAAGTCACGTTTATCATAATCCACTGACACAGATAATCCTGCTTGTGGGACTGGTCAAAGATCTGCCAAATGCCTTACAGGCTGGGAGGCAGGAGGGAGCCCCAGTTCACTGCCCACCAAGAGCTGTCACTGAGGCTGGCCTGTCCTCAGTCTGAAAAAAGAAGACTGGAGACTTCTTGCACATTCGGGGCAAGGTGTGCAATTTCCCAAGTTATCAGATGAGATGGAAAGGCAGCAATAGGAAGAGCACTGGATGGGAGATAGGAGAGTTGGGCATAAATCCTGGTGTCTCCTCTCACTGGTAGCGTCCCCACTTCACAGACTATGCTAAGGCTCCAGCGGTGTTGTGGAGAGTGGGCAATGTAGATGCTGAGTGGTGTGTCTGTGCCGTGGTTCTTGTGTGCATTCTGCCTCCTTCAGGAAGCCTTCCTTGACTGCTCCTGCCACTGTTGATGTGTGTGTTCCACTGTCAGCACCAGGTATGAAATGCATCATTTCTGCTGTGTCCTCTGCCCAACAGCCCTGCCCATGGCACACCAGTTCCAGTCTGAAGAGCATCTGCATTGCCCTTTCCAAAACATCCCATCTCCCACATGGCACCTTTAATTACCCTCCCCTACAGGTGAGAAATTGGAGACAGTGGTGGCAGAAAGGTTACGTTACTAGCTCATAGTCCTTCATGAAGTAGGGGACATGAATCTCAAACCCAGGCTTTCAGATGCCAAACTCCATACTCCTTCCTCATTCTCTGATACAAAGGCCAGGCGGGGGCAGAAAGCAGAAGAGTGAGAGTTGCTTTCCATGGAGAAATGACCCCAGTGAGAAAAGTCCTTCCCCAAGAATATGAGCCAGCAGCCCAAGTCTCCACAGGCTCAGTTCTGGGACATGCCAAGCCCCCTCCCTGGACATCCCAATCCACACTGTCTGTCTGTATCTGGGTACCCCTGTGCTGCACACTAAGAGTAGGAGGAAGGACCCAATGTCTGGAACCAGGCACTGGACAAGGTTCAGCCCACTTTACAGGGGGCATCACAGACTCCTGCAGTCACCTGCCAAGCTGCCAGGGAAGGGTGCACGTGGCCACACCTGGTGATCTGGGTATTTCTGCTTACCTGTTGTGCCACTTGTGAAACACACAATGGAGAGGTCATCAGGCTGTGGGGGCTGCAGGGATGAGAATAAGAGTGTATTAGGAAGACCCAGTGTGGCCAGCCACGGAACAAATGCCTGGACCCCTTCACCAGGCAGCCCCATGTTTGCTATGTGTGGGAGCAGGCATGTGTTGGGCATGTGTGCATGCCCTGTGTGCTGTACTCAGGAAGGTGGGCAGGCAAGCTCCTAGGAAAGGGGTGAAGAAGCTGAGGACACCTAACTGGGGTGTGAACACTGATCTGTCCCACCAACCTCACATCTGGCCCACCGCCTCCCCCACTTGAGCCTGCACTAAATTCTCCTACATGAAATTGGGCTGCAGTGACCGCATCTAGGTGTCTACCAAAGATCTCACCTTTCCAGTGGATATGATTGAGTCTCTTCCCTCCGTCCCATTTTCTCCCACATATCAGTGTTAGGCTTGGGAACATAACATGTGTTTCAGGCATTGATCTGCCCCGTGTCACCAACTCTGTTCTAAATTGGGCTTTGGCCCTGGCACTGGGGCACACAGTCTGGAGTCACCCGGAGGAGCCTACTAAGTCCACTTGCATGTAGAGAATGGCTTCCCAGAGGAGGTGACTATTGAGTTGAGATGCAAGGCCAAGCAAGATTTCTCTGGATGAAGTGAAGGTGAACTCTCTGGGGAGAGGATCTAGCCTGGGCACAGGCACAGAGGCTCTGGAGACAAGGGCATGCTGAGGGATTGGAGACCAGTGGTTCTCTAAGGCTGGGGCCTGGCGTGTGGGAGGTGGGCAAACAGCAGGGGCTACCCACAAAGGGGCCTGGGAAGCAGATTGTGACCCATCCAGGCCTACGCATGAGAAAGTTCACCAGAGGTGGTGAAGGGAGTGGGAAGAACTGAGCTGGAGGGGAGTCTGGAGGTCAGATACTTTGTTAGAAATCTGAAAACCCCTGTGTGGTCCATCCTGGAGGCAGCTACCCTCACTGTGACTCAAGCCCAGTCAGTGTCACAAGGGAAGGACACAGAAAAGTTCACAACACAAAGATGAATAAAGACAGCAGATGCCACAAGGCCGCTTGGCCCAGGGGTCCATTTCTGGTTCTGTTGCTGCTTCTATCCACCCCATTCTCTGGAGAGTTTACTACATTCAAAGGAAAAAAAAAAGATTTCCCAAAGAAAAAGTTATTGGAGAACTAAGAGTGGCCAGGCTTGGCTGTCTTTTTTTACTCCCTCCCCAATATCTGACTCCTGTTCCAGGTCCTTCCCCGGGCTCTGCCAAAGGGATACTGGTCACCTAGTGGACATTCCCTGCTTTGCTCACAGGAGTTGCTTATTAACTCAGAGGTGTTTGGTCTCTGTACGGAGCCCCTGTGCACAGTGAGGGCTCTGTGAGCACAGGCCCTACACACCATCTCACTCAATAAGGACTTGCCGGCAAATTAGCTTACCACAGGAACACGGTGATTCTCTCGGCCACAATCCTAAAAGAAGAAAATGCTGTTTTTAAATGCTCAAAAGTTCTTGCCAATCATCATCATCATCATCATCACCATCATCATCATCATCTCAGCACAGTAGGCCTTGTTCCTGCACCAGCCCCGAATTCAGGATTCCCTGCCTAGATGTGGGCCACTGTGGCAGATACCATCTCAGTGGTCTCTCCTCAGGCACACGTCTAGGCCCGAGGCTCCTGGGAAAGAGGGAGGGTGCCTACAGGTCCTAGCCCATCCCTTATGTTACAGACAAGTGGCCTGAGGCCCAGGGGGAGGTCAAGCATTGCACACATGCCAACTCTAAGGTGGCACTCGGAGTTTGGGTCATGTTGAGCTTAAGGTGCTCATGGTACATCTGGGCATGTGCTCAGGACAAAGTGGCTGGGTGGGCTAGGCTTCCAGATGAGCAATCAGTGCTAGGGGTCAGATGAGGGTTGTCAGTATAGGTGTGGCTGCTAAAGCCATGGAGGGGTACAAGTGCAGAGGTGTCATGAGTACAGTGAGGAGCAGATAGGAAGAAAAGTGGAGGGCCCCGGGGCCCAGATCCAGCAGGGCATAGTGAGGGATCGGTGGCTACTGAGCAGGACCTGAGGCCCTGGAGTTCAGGATGTCCTGTATCGCCCAGCAGGCCACAAGCTACCACCAACATGATGTCTCTGGGAAGGCCATGCACAGGGAAAAAAAAATCAGTTCTGCTGGCTGCTGAGGGTCTGGGTCACATTTGCAAGAACCTTTCCAAGACTCCCAGACATCATGTCTGCAGTCTTCAGGTACAGACAGGCTGATGCTAGCTGGAGATGAGGAAGCTCACATATGAGAGGCTGTGTGAGTACCTGTGGGGCAGGCTGGCACCATTGTCCACCTGTTGGTGCCTGGGACTATGAACTGATCTAGTCACAGAGTCTATCTGCTAAAGGATACCAGAGAGCACCAACCTCACCTCCCACAACCAGTCCTTGAAAAGCCTGCCTGTCTCAACATTGATATATCCTGAGGGTTCAAAGCAGCCATCCCGGGGGATGAGAGGGGCAGATGGTCAGCAGATCTGACTCAGTGGTCTGCCAGTTGTGGCCCAACAAACAGCCCAGAAGCAGATCCTCACCTCCACAGCCTGCATGGATTTAATGACCACCCCACACTTCTGCCCTCTCTCTTTCAGCGCGTCCTCGAACGGTTCCATGAGGATGATCAGCTTGAGGCCTGAAGTCTCCTTCCTCTCCGTGTGCTCTAGCAGAAGCACAGCCTTCTGAGGTTTATCCACAATCACGGTGCTGATGTCCGCTGCAGGGACCACCAAGGAGAGTCAGGCCATGTGGGCACAGGTTGTGACTATGAGCAACATATGTCGGGTACAGTACAATGGGCTGTGTGCTCCACAGCTTGTGTGTAAATAAAAGGGCAAGACAGGCCTTGTGTACAGAAAAACATGCCATGGGTCCTGGGTAGAAGCAAGAGCAGAAGGCCAGGGAGTCTCCTGGAGCAGATGCCAAGCTTTTCCTTGCTCCAGGCTCTGCCCCATCATCCCAGTTCTGCTTGAGATATTTACCACTCCCCGAATCAGTGTCAGGCTGTCATGAACCTTAGAGGGTCACAGCCTGTCTGGGCAGCCCAGCCCTATGGAAGGAGCCTTCAGGTAAAGTCTGAATGGGGACAGCTGTGACTTAGGGAGCCAACTCAGAGGCCAAAGTATAAACCTTTAGTGGTTTCTGAGAGGAGCAAAGTGTTTCTCTTGTGAGTTTCAAACAATTGGCATAACCTGAGAGACTGGGGGCTGGCAGTCAACGGCAGGAGGGGTGGCAGCAGGCTTACCTGTATTGATGATGTAGCCGATAACCCCAGGGCCCAAGGTGTCATAGAGTGGGACCACCACCATGGAATACGTGTAGCAGGCCAACTCTGCAATGATCCACTATGGAGACACATGGGTCAAGGTGTGTGGGTGGGGGTGGGGAGAGAAAGGAGATTAGAAGGTACTGCCCTTACACTAGGTGACTCTGGTCCTTGCTCCAAACCTATGGTTGACCCTCTGCAGGCAGCAAGGAATCCACGAGATTAATGGGTTGTGCCTGCTCACCCCCAGCCTTCTAGACCCTGTGTGTCCCAGATAATTCTGTAACCTCTGGAATTTATGTCCCAAGCCAGCCCCAAGCCCACTTCCGGGCTTACACAGGCCTCTTCCCCAGGTTCTTCTTTCTCATTGGCTCAAAGGGCAGCTGTCTGTGGAGTGGGTGAGATGTGGAAGGAGCTTGACTGGGGAGTCCAGTCCTGATGAGAGCAGAATTGGGGATGGGATGGCAGTGGTGGCATGGCCCAAGGGTTTCCATTTTTTCTCTTGCCCTGGACTTCGCAAACAGTGGGAGCAGGACTGTTCCATGGTACCCAACCCCTATTCCACTCATACCTCTAAAGCCAGTCAAGGTAGATGCTCACCTCTGGCCGATTTTGTGCAAAAACACCAATAAACTGATCTGTAGATGCTTTGCAATTGTGCTGGAGAAGTCCAGACCCCAGAAATTCAGCCCTGTCGGCCACCTGCACACAGTTGTGGGGAAATGATGGGAAAACAAGGGCCCTTCATCAGTGGAAGGAGATTCCTTGGTGGGATTCCCACAGGTCCAAGAGGCCTCCCTGACTTCCTACCCAGGTATGCTGGAGGCCCCTCAAGGTTGCTGCCAGGAGTTTAGCAGATGGGCCACACAAATAAAAATGACCCTCCAAGACTCAGCAGACTGCCCACAAACCCTCCCTGCCCCTTGAGTGCCTGGTCTATATGGGTGGACAGGGTGGAGCCCATCCTCTATCACTCACCTCCTGGTAGGACAGCCACTGGTAAGGCTGCTTAGGCTTCCTGAAGCCTAGGCAGGGCCCATTCCCTGCAGAGAGATAAGAAGGTTTTGTGCCAGGGAGGGGGACAGGGTGGGTGCCACCTGCATCTGCCCTCAGGAACCTGGATGGACATCCCATACTTGGTCTATGAACACCCATAAAGTGCCCCCACAACTGTCTAATCTGCTGTGCTCAAGCGGGCCCAAAGCACACAAGCATGGCATCCCCCCAGGAATCAGGGAGGCCCAGGGATGGGGACTGATGCAGTGCCCAGTCCCCACTGTGATTGGTGTGATGGTCCCCATTGCAGACCCCAAAGGATATAACACCTTCCTTTGTCTTTTACCCTGGGGACACCTAGACATCTCAAAGGCTCAGGCTCAGAACCATGCCAGCCAGTGGCATGGCAGCTCAAGGCTCACTAGGGGTATTGAGCATGGGCCAAGAGATGGCCTAAGGTCAGGCCATTCTAAGGGCTGGAACAAAGTTGAGGTCAGCCCTTTGGCCACATAATGCAGCTGCTTCTCTGACTGGGGGGAGGAGGGCCAGAAGTGGCTTCTCTCCCCTGAACCAAGGCACTGCCCACCAGCCAGATCCCTGGTATCATGCTTGCTTGCTCTTGTACCCATGCAACCCCTGCCACAGTACCTCCACACCCCCACAGCTCTTCTCACCTGAGATGCTAAGCCCACGGCGGAACACCTGGTACATGGTTCGGGCATCATCGTAGTAGTGGGTAAGCAGCTGAGGACCACCCCCGATCACAGATCGCCGGGCCCCGCCACTGTCCTACAAGCACAGGCCGGAGAAACTGGCTGAGGCTGGCAGGGGCATCAGGAGAGTCTAACATGCATAAGACTGTACACAACTTGAATGTACAACCAGTCCACAGTATTGGGGCTGAGGTATGCTCTGTGTGTCCTTATATACATGGCCTATACACACCTGCGCTATATATACTCTACCTGTACGTATCTACATTCAAACATAGTTGGTTCATGCATATAGGCCCGGTATACCAGTATCCCACACACATACACACACAGCATTCACACTCCAGGTCAGCATACACAAAATATCCTGAACTTTCAGTTACTGTTCATACACGCCCATGGTTCATTCACACAACACAGTGGGGAGTGTTGACTGGGGTCAGGCTATCCCTTGGCATCAGGATCAATCTGCTATGATAACTCTCATGCCATCATCTGCTGCTATGCCTCTAGGTTAAGGATCATCTGAGTATAGTATCAGGTAAGAAAACTGCTATCCATCATTCACATAATAATGTGAATTAGTTTGAGGCCTGTGCTGAAGGTGCTCTCCCAGGAACAGAGACCAGGTGGCTGAATTATGTTAATGTACAATGGGGAAGAGAAGAAGGCAGCAAGTTCCTGGACCCTCAGCAGTGCAGACGCAGAGTGGGAAAGCAGTAGACTCCGTCTGTGCTGGGGGCGAGGACAAGGAGCCAGGTGTCTTCTCCTGCAACCTCCTCTTCCACCCTGTCACTCCTCTCCAGGATCCCCAAACCCAGAACTCTCCAATACCACCACAGCTCTGCCTCTTCTCTGAGTATTATTTGGGCTGCTCTGGGCTGGCCCACAGGCTGCCACCTCTTGGAACATCAGGTATGAGAAAAAATGCGAGAGCCACAAAGCAAACAAACAAATTCAAAACCCTAGGCAACTCTCAACTGTTTTGGAGTAGACAGTTATGCTTGGCCAGTACTCCCTGAATATCAGGTCCACGTAAGAACTGCGTGGGAAGCTGGGGGTATGTATGATCAGACCGGGTTAGCATCAGGGCAACAGATAGGGTATAGGAGAGACTGTATGCCAGGGACAGAGGAGGCTCAAGTGGGCATGAGTGTTTGGGAATAGTCACCAAGCTGGGTTTATTGAAGGCGGCATAGGGGTTTGCCAGGCAGAATGAGGCGCAGGGAATAGAAGTCTAGGCAAAGGCAATAGCAAGTGCACATGTATGGCAGCAGCAAGCCACAGGCGCCTTTGGGAAACTGTGGGCGATTCATGAAGCTCTCGATGGTAATGGTGGGGGAGGAAGCCAGAGAGGCTGTAGATCAAGGCCAGGCATCTGGACTCTGGGCCCAGAGTTAGCCAGGGGAGTGCTCTAAGCTAGAGGAGTGATATGATCTGAGCTATGTTTCTCACCACGTAGCACGCAGAGTCAATGCTGCCAGGCACTGTATGATCTGGGCGCCTCTAATGCCCCTCACCTCATCTCCCACCTCTCTCTCCTTTGCCCACTCCAGTGCAGCCACTCTGCTTTCTGCGATCCTGGGGGATGTGCCAAGGGAGGGCTGCCTTCCCAGGAAGGAAGGCCTTAGCTTCATCCCATCCCCCTGTCCTCCCAGCCAGGCCCTCAAAGTGACTCACTTTGCAGCCCCTACATGCTGAGCCAGGGCCATCCCTCTCAGCACTCTGACCCCATCTAGACTACTGCCAGCTCCAATCCAGATGCCTGCAGTTGTCTCCTTCCCCAAGCCTGCTCCTGCCATGGCCACCCTTCTACAGCACAAAGTGGCCATCTCTCTCCCTGCTGAAAGCCCAGAGTAAATCCATGATGCTGACTTGAAGGGCCCTACCCAGTTCATGGGGCTCTGTCCTTGCTGACATCTCCAGAGGAGTTATAATCATAAACTTAACCAAAACCAACTATTCTTAGCGATGTTTCTCTGTCATCCCACCAAGTCCTCACCATAGCTTAGGAAGCAGATGCTGTCTTTATTATCCACTTTACAACTGAGGGAACTGAGGCTCAGAGAGTTAAGAAACTGCCAAGGACCATGCAGCTCATAGAGGCACAGCCAGTCTTCAAAACCAGAAATACCAAAGGCCATTCTCAACACTATCCTGCTCTCCCCTCTCCAGCATCCCATCGAAGCACCATTTCCCAAAGCCACCATGTGCTTTGGCATACACCTGAACCTCTGCACACATCACTCCTTCCGCTGGAAAAATTCTCTTAAGATGCTGGCCTCTATCTTGACCTGTGCCCTCCCCTACCAGGCAAAACGTTGCTATGCTTATGATGGCCAAGATGCACTGACAAGAGCAAAAAGCAAGGTGCACAACCATGATATGTGGCATCTATCATTAAAAGTGTGTGTGTGTGTGTGTGTGTGTGTGTGTGTGTGTGTGTGTGTGTGTGTGTGTGTAGGGTGTCTATACATTTGCTCATGGCCAAGACTGAACCCTTAGCAGGTTACCTCAGGGAGGAGAACTGGGAGACCAGGGGAAGACAGAAGTTTTTCTTTATGTCCTTTTGTTTCATTTGAACTGTGAGAATACCTTATCAAAATGAACAGATTTACAGTTTAGGGGAAAAAAGTAAATTTTAAAAAGGTAAAATAAATTCCACGAGCTGAGAAATATATCTCTCTGGTCCTTGCTGGCTTAGCCTGGAATACTCTTGTCCACTAGGCCTCTGTACCTTCTTCCCCCTTGTGGTTCCACCTATGAGTCCATGAGCTCTGGGAGGGCAGGACCTAACTTTGGGCCCCAGTACAAGACCTCAACAAGGCACAGAGAATTTGCATGGGAGGGAATTTACCTGGCAGCTCCTTGAGGACCTGCTTAGGCTTCTTACCGAGGCACCAATGAGTCTGGTCTCCTACCGGAGAAGAGGCAAACCAGAGGCCCAGTGCAAGGCCCAGGTCAGCCTCTACCCAGGGGCAGTTCTTGGGAGAGGCAGCAGGAGCATCTGGAAGGTTTGAAACCCTGCTCAAGGCTGCTGAGAGCTTCTCTGGGCCATGTGAAGTCAAATAAGCCACAAGGTTGGCTTCTACCTTCAAGATGCCTGTCCTCTGCCCCCAACTTTCCAGCTGACCTGCTCCCACTCTGCTCACCTCTACTTCTTCTGACTGCATCAGGAGGTTGCATGGCGGCTGCAAGGCCTTCGGACGGTGAGTGAACCAGTAGGCGAGGATGGCGGCCAGCGCACCCATACTCACAAGGGTAGTGGCTGACAGGCTGCGGAAAAACTGACCCAAGTCACCCAGCTCAGGCAGCCGCAGTAGCCTCAGGATTTCCTGTGTCTGCATCTTCTCCAGAAGTGAGAGGACAAACTCTGCAGAAAACAAAGGGCAGATAAGGCCTGACGGGCAGGCTAGGAAGAGGTCCTGGACCACAGGCAGCATACTGACCCTGGCTAGGATCTAGCCCAATATATCGTAGGGCAGTGTCTGGGTGAGTTGGGGTGTACTGTCTCCTGGTGCCACACAGCACACCCCAGAAGTTGGCTACCTGGAAGGGCCTTTCCCAGGGAGAGGCCAGAGCCTTTAGCAGTCACACCCGACAGTCAGACATTCTGTCCACTTTTCCTGAGAACCAGGGCTCTGGGCCATGGCTGATAGTTCTGCTTCCATATTTTCCAGGGCCCAGTGCTCTGGCAGATCTGAGAGCGAAGCCTCCTGGGCCTTAGGGCCTGGGTGCTCTGCCTTCCTGTGTGACTGCTGTCATAGAATTTTACTTATCTTTGCTCCTGGGTTGTGGAGAAGAGGGAAGAACAGCAGAAGTGCCCAACACAGCGATGTGCTCCCACAGGATGAGTAGGGTGGAAGGATGCAGGCTGCCCCTCCAAGCTCCCAACCCCAGGTCCCACCCTGTGGGAGAGGAAGAAGGGAGAGGGGAAGAATGCACAGACCACTCCAGACAGATACCTTTAGCCCTCATGACATGATGGCAATGTCCTATCTGAATGCATGAGCACTAAGGCTCTGCACCGACACAGACTGAGTACTAGGAGGTACAGATGACCCTGCCATTAACTGAGCCCTGTGCTGTCCTCCATGGCCCCCCAGATTCTGTCCAGAGGAAAGGAAAGGGGTGGCAGAGGGAAAGCAAGTGTTAAACTGGGAGGAAGAGAAAGAAATCAAGGCTCAAAAGAAAAGACTCAGCTAAGTGCTGTGTAAACTCATAGGAATAAACAGCATCTCTTGTGATGTCACACATGGCAACCAAGGTGCCACACCCACCTACTGCAGGACATTGTGATGGTCTATGAGAAGCACCGGTGACTGACTGACTTGGGTTCAAAAGGAGCAGGCCCTAGAGGCCTCCTGCATCCTCCTGCAACCACCTGTTAGCTGCTAAATGAAGAAGTGTTGGCAGAGCAGATATACAGCCAGCTGGGCTCAGAGGTCTGCCCCTTGCCCAGGACTGAGGAAGATATCGAGGGTGGGCCAGATATTGAATGCTGGCATCCCCACTAGGATTCCCTTATGCCACTACCCAGTGGGACCTGGGGCTAGGAGTGCCACAGGACACCCACAGGTCTGTCAGCCCAGTGATGGCAGGGTGGGCTCTGGGCTGCCCTGCACCATCCACAGGCACCCTCCTCTAGGGCCCTTGGCCTTTGGAAGCACAGCTATGGTTTTCCTTCTTGGGAAACAAGGAGAAACACAACAGCGGCTACTCTATAGTCACAGGATATGAGCCAAACAATTGCTTGACCCTCAAGGGAGGAGAGATCTGCTGAAATCCCAATAAACTGTATTTGTGCTAAACTATAACATCACCACACCGGAGATGAGGTCAGTGACATGTAAAGTCATTGCAGAAGGAGAGAGCAAAGCTTTTCAGTTCCAATTCCTTCTCTTTCACTTATAAGCAATGGAAGGTTGAGCATATCCTACCTCTCTGAACCTCCATGTCCCCACCTTTAAAATGGGAAGTGCCACTTAGACAAGAAAAGCTCCTTGCACTGCATCTGGCATACTCAGAGGACTAAAGAGATGGCTAAGGGACAAGCTTATCAGACCAAGAAGGCAGCCCAAAAAACAAAAAAGGGATCAGGGCAAGCCTGGTCCAGGCTGGCCTGAAAACTGGGCAGAGGTGAATGGGCCCAGGCACTGTAGCCCCTTGAAGGAGTTTATTTATGCTCTGTAGATGGTACAGCAGGCTGTCTGAGTCCTGGGAACACTCATCAGCCACCCATGACTCTGGGTGAGCCCCCAGCCAAGAGGAGCATTCTCACTGAGCTCCTGAGCTGGAAATGCAGTTTTACGAGTGGCCTCCTTGAGCTGGGTCAGTTATGAGGCCATCCCACAGGAACCACCTGGCACATCGATCAAATTAAGGTTTTGCATCACCAAAGCAGAGGCCCAGCTACAGACCACGGTGAATTCACCAGGGAGAATCACTCTGAGGAGGATTCTGGCCAGGCGACCAGCAGGCCTTCTTGGGACATTTACTTCCCTAAGCTACAGATGGGAAGATAAAGCCAGAGCTAGGTCTATCAGGTAAATGACTCACCACTTAGTGGAAAATCCAGACATGCTCACTATCTCTTGGGGTGGGTGCTGAGCTGATCGGCATTTCTTTTAATGAGTTCGATGAACTGAGAAGCCAAAGTCCAAGAAATACCTGCCCAGTCCCTGAAGACTCAGCTATATATCCCAAAAGTTTTAGAGAGAACCTTGGACAGAGACCTCACTACTACCACTCGTCCCTGTCCTTAGCAGTTGCTCACTGACCTTAAGCTTTGTATATCTGTGACATTTGGTGCAATACTGGAGTTTTCAGAGAACACAGCCTAGAACTGCAAAGCCATCCATCCATCCATCCATCCATCCATCCATCCATCCATCCATCCAACCATTCATCCATCCATCTGACAGACCCTCAACACAGCCCCTGCTATCACTTAGCTCAGTGCTGGGCCTGCCCTCAGTCCCAGGGGTAGACATATGAGGGAGTGGGCAGTGCTGGGATCAGACAGGGAACCAGAGAAGGTGCACTCATAGGACTCAGGGTATGGAGAGTCCAAGCAGGCTTCTGGCAGGAAGTAATATTGATGCTGAGGCTGAAGGATGAAGAGGAAAGGGTGTCCCAGGCCGAGGGAAGCAAATATACAAAGGGTCAAGTTGAAAGAGCACTTAGGGCCAGGTTCGAGACCCGCCTGGGCAGCGAGACTTCATCTCTACAATAAGTCAAAAAATTAGCCGGGCGCGGTAGCGTGCGCCTGTAGTTCCAGCTACTTGGAAGGCTGAGGTGGAAGGATAGCCGGAGCCCAGCAGGTCGAGGCTGCGGTGGCCAGGAGTGGCCACTGCACTCTAGTTTGGGTGACAGAGTGAGACTCCAACTCAAAAAAAAAAAAAAAAGCAGCACTTTAGGGAACTGAATATTCTGTTCAGAAAATCAAGTTGTAATCCCATGAAAGCTTATCTAAAGGTTGGTGCCACAAGTCTGTAACGCTGGTCTCTTGGGTATGCTGAACTTTCAATTGTCTTCACATTATCAAAGTCCTCAGTGGAGGAAAAAGGGGAAGTTGTCTAAACTTCCTGAATTTCCGATGCCTGAGAAGCCCTTTCCTGGAGCTCCAGACACTTACTTCTAAGGTAGGGACACAGAGAATCCACTGAAGAAATTACTGTCTTCAGTGAGCAAGGTACACAATAAGCAAGTAGTAGAGCCTGGACACAAGTCCAAGACTGTAGTCTCCAAAACCGTCCCTTTGTGTGGCATGGCCACGTCACTCCCTGCCAACACTGGCAGACCCACTCCCACTACCCACCCTTTCCTTCCCGCTGGTGCTGAACCCACAGTGAACCAGCTCCAGCTTGCTCAGAAGAGCCCAGTCCCAGGTTCTGAAGGGTAGGGAGAAGTTCAGAGCCACTAGAGCCTTATACGGGGGGATCAGCCTGTCAGACAGTCATTTGCTGTTGTTTGCCATGCACACACCATGGGAGGTGACCTTCTTCCTAGCCTCTCATCAAGAACTCATCATCTTCTCCTGGCTGGGTCCTTCCCTTCCCACCTGGGGTGATGAAGGGCAGTGGGAAAAGGGCGTGTCTGTCCTCTCTTCCTCATGCTCCCACTTGGGTGCCCACCCCTAAGGAGGTGTCTGCAGTGGGTGCAACTTCTTTGGCCCTGAGATTGGGCCTGCAGCTGCCTTGGCTGGGCAGCAACCAGAGGGTCTCATTTTCCAGGTTCACAGGTCTTCTTGGACAGTCAGAATGGCCTGCATTTGTCCTGAGGTTCCCTTCAGACCTGGGAGCCACTGTAGGGCTGAACTGCAAGTCCAGGTCTTCTGAGGACACTGACTTCAGAGCCAGCCCAAGCCACCAAGACTTTGGCATGGGAGAGGGCAGAGCCTAGGCTACGGAGTCTGGTCTCATCTCACTATTTCACAGGGCCTTGTCCTCCTCTGACCTCCATACCTCTCTGTCAATCTGGGGCTGACAGAGTGGGGCTCAGTGGTCCCAAGGGTCCTGGCCATGGCTGCCTCCTTCCATTCCCCAGGAGGTTCTCCTGGTTGCAGAAGAGGTATATGTTTGTGGTGAGAGTGGGGAGCAGTATAGACAGCATCCAAGGGAATCAGTGGTGCTGGTGTTAGCAAGTGAGCGGCTGTGAGTGTTTGTAAATATTCACCTGGCAAGAAGACCCAGGCCTTAGTGTGAACTAGCCTCTTCCTCCTCTTCACCCAGCATATCCCATGTCTTCTCCTCTAGCACAGCCCAGCTCAGAATACCAAGTGGTGACACAGGCTGGGGGGACTGGGACTTCTTTCTACCTCACCAGGTCCTCTGCTAATTTAAGGTACATGGGGGGTGGTTAGAGAAAGCCATTGCAATTCAGAAAGAAAGGGTCCCCAGTGGGAAGCATGTTGGTGCCAAGGTGGTGGCGTGGTAGAGGCAAAGCTCCAGAACGCCATCCCTGTGGAAATGGTCCTGAGGCCCATGGCTTGGCTCCAAGGACCCTCTGCTGGTCCAGCATTCCAGGTCTTCACAGTCTAGCTGGACGTCTCGTCAGAATGACTTCCTAAACATCTCTCAAACCTGGCCACTCCTCTCTACCCCCGCAGCTCCTGGCCTGGCAGCCACCAAGTGCAGCCCAGACTTCCATATCATCCTCATCATATGTCTCCATGCTCTAATCCATGCTTATACTGATACTAAAGTTATTTTCCTGATACATGGATAGGACCACTGCTCAAAAACCTTATCTGGCTCCCTACTGCCTTGGAACCAGAGTCCAAACTCATGCTGGTGAGGAGGCCCTCCACGATCCTCAGATTCTTTCCACCCTTAAACTCATCTTAGCTTCCTCTGTGTCAACCTGGGTGGG